GCCAGGTGACCCATCTGAAAGAAAAACACAAAAAAAATATTAAACTAAGTAAGAGTAGGGTAGAGGAAACAAAGATTGATTTGGACAAAATGCAGGACCACCAGAATCATGGAGCTAGAAATGTAACTTATAATATTGGATTTTGATGGCTGCCATTAGTAGCTTGCAGCCAGTGATTTTTGTTGGCTATTTAACACAAGAAATAATACCAGTTACGTTTGCCATACCTTAATGAGTTTTAGTTCAGCTGTTCGAAGACAAGCTGGGCTCATCACACACTTTCTCAGCCAGTGAAGGCAGCTCTTTGCAAGATACAGCAAACTGAGAGTCAAAAGGGAAAAAAATTCAATGCTGACAAGAAGACACTCAACAATAAATTTATAACTAATTTTTTGTCACCCTCAAGAAGAAGTAATTGTGTAAGTGCCGAGCTGCATGTGAAATATGTCCACTCATTTTCTTTAAATTTGGAGGGGGCCTTTTTGTATAGATCAAGCCCTTCAATTAACAAAATTTTGTAACATTATAATAATTATAATGTTACAAAATTTTGTTAATTGAAGGGCTTGATCTATGCAAAAAGGCCTCCTCCAACTGTATCATTAGTTTGAACCTTTAACTTAAAATCACCTGAAAATTGACAAAAAAATTAGCAATAGCCATAGGGGAATTTTCTTTTATATGGGAAGTTTTCTTGGAGAAGAAATATTGGCTACAAAGTCAGTTTGGCTTACCTGGGAAGTTGATCTTCTGCAGGAGGAGCATGTCCAAGAGATGTGATCAGCAAGTCTAAAGTTTCTGTAGCAAAATAGTTTTAAAAATGTAAATCTCATGTTTCTGTACTTGTAGCTGTATTACCTCTTTTCATAAAGTCTTATTTTAAAAGTTAGGAGACAGTTAACATCTTGCTTTACAGCTCCATATTTTATTGACAGTTGATGTTGTTTAGTCAATTAATGACCTGGGATTAAGGTTTCATCAACAAAAGAAGTACTAACTTTGTGTCTCATAAACCTCTTACCCTCTTGCACTGCTCTGCTTGTACACTGAGCCAGTAATCCAAGTTCTGTCCATGATTTGCCCAAATCAACATGATCCCCTTTACCTCCTGATAGAATACCAGCTCTCCTCTGCAAACGGAAATATTCATTTAAAACCAGAAACACCAAATTTCCTTTTTTTTTGTTTTTTGGATGTAATATCTTTATTTTTAATCCCTTACTGAAAATTTTTAAGGCTCAAAAATTCAGGATTGTAAATTGTAATTGTAAATATCTTATTATCCACTCCCCTCAGGGCTTTTCAGGGATAATTTACAACACTGGTTGGGGGACTTTGCCAGACTGCTTAAGGTGCAGTTTACCAGTACTGAAGGAATGAGTGATGACGCCCCCATACATGAGTGTGAAAGTGAGATAGACCACTACACCGGGCACTACGTGCCCTACTCTTTACGAAGAGTGTGTGGGTTCTTTAACGTCCCACAGATTTATTATATGTTATTACAAAGGCAGCACTTTCTCCTCAGTTATTTAAAGACCCTGAGTGTTGGTCCGGCCGGGGTTTGAACCTACGGCCTCCCGCACAGCAGACCGGCGCTCTCCCAACTGAGCTAACCGGGCGGCGGCAGAATGGGATTTTGGAGGGTAAATTTTACGTCCATTAGGATTTGTTTGGGTCCTGTTTAAAGTCATTAGGCCAGTTATTTAAACGAAGTTTAGCCAGTATTTAACAAAACCGAGTTCTAAGCCATTTTCAATTAGCCGAACACTTTTATGTGAACACCATTTATTGTGAACAATTTCATCAAAGCATATAAAGTACACCAGAAAAGCATTTGTCTACTTAAAATAACCCATTAAGGAAGAGATCTGGAGGTCCAAAGATTTCCTAAAGTGCAGCCTAAGTTAGATTTTGTTTAAATAACCAACCCATAGGGTTTTTTTGGAATTTGATTCGTGTCCCCTTTTGATCATCTGCATCACTTTAACTACACAGTACCCCCTTGGCTGGGACTGGTAGGGGTGCAGCAGTGACAGTTATCTCTTGAAGTACATTTATTGTTCTCTTGTGACACTTTAATCTTTGATCTTTAATCTTTAATTGATATAATTGCCTACACTGTACCTTTGCCCTAGAGATCATTTTTAGAGCAACTCCTTCAAGTTCCCTTCTGTCTTCTTCATTACTGTCATTAAACTAAAAATTGACAGAAATAAGTTTATAAGCTTAATTAATCAAAAAAAATTCTTCAAGCACTGCACTTTTGTACTTAACCTTTTGGATGTGTGCATCAGCAAGAAAGCAACAGAAGGGGAAAAATTAAAAATGGCAAGACCACTCACCTTAGCAATAAAATCTTCTGTGACTTCATATGGTGATCTTCAAGAGACAAAAAACAAAAATAAACTTTATATAACCTATGATATCCTCTTTCACTCCTTAGCTCCTGTCGGTTCCGGGAGTTTATAAATGTTTATAAGCTTATGATCAAATGTAAACCACCCGAAACCACACGAGCTAGGAAGTCTGACCGACTGACATACGAAAATTACTTTCTTACCTGGTTCTGGAAAACGTACGTGGAGGTTCAGTAGCTAAAGACCTCTTTGCGAGCCTGTCTTCTAACGCTAGGCGTTGTGTGTGAGAGATAATCCCAAATTTGTGTACAACAGGCACTCGTTCAACCGGCATTTTTTCGTTTATTTTTCACCTCGTGGCTATCTTACTCCTCTCAAAGGATTCTTGTTCCGTCGAATAACTTGAGTCATTTCTAAAACTCTCAGTTGTACCTTTTTCGTGTCTGCTTTTCGCACTAAAAGCAGCAAACTCTATCTTCACGTTTTTGGCCATCCGAGGCCGCCATATTGCTTTTGGGGTTACCTTAGCAACAACGTCTAAGACGACAAGGAATCCTGGGATGCCACAATGATACACGCGTGACAATCGCGCACATGTCGCGCAATTACTTGAATTTTTGTGTAATACAAAAAGTTTTGTTTTGCATCTAAAATGAGACACTGACAGCTAAGTAAAGTTAATTTTCGAAAAGCTATTTGGTTGATAGCTTCCGACAAAATATAAAGAAACAGAAGAGGGGTCCTTTTACACTGACTCCAATAACTTTTTTTAAGGCTCAAAAAATGAAAACACTGGATAAACACCTTCTGACCACTTCGATGAACAATTGATATATAAAAACAAGGGCAATTTGAATGAAAAAACTTTTGTTCCATTGAGTTCGATGGAAATTATAAAGTAACTTAAGACAGGTAACGAGCAAATAGCTAAAAATCGGCATAACTAATGAGTTTCCAAAAATCAGTATTTACAGTCTTAGGTGCAAAAAATATCACCGATAAAGCTACAAACATATTAAAGCTTTGAAAACAATCAACGTGAAGATGACTGTCAAGTGATCCCATAAGAGCTATTGTTCGATATTGTTATTCAAATAATGCATGACTTACATTGGTCACGCAACGTTGATAACGCAATTCTACTATCTTCTTAAATTGTGGATGTGTATAATGTAACATGAGGGATTTAATCATCAGGGTAAGTACTAATCAAAAGTAACTACGTAGCTTAGGGTCCCTAATAATCAACTACATCGCTCGATTCTATATCTATAGGCTTCAAAATTGTAAAATTCATTCAAACAATTTGCATTTAAAGTTCTTAATTGATATATGTTTACATAGCAACTTAGATGTTTGGATGATCGCGGGAAAGTATAACTCATATCTCAGAGCTTTCTCTAGCAATAATTCTGGTTTAGAAGCAAAGATCGAAGCAATCTGAATACACTGCAGCTTACATTCTCGCGACGTGACCTTTAGATCCATGACAGTATATTTCTGATATTTACATGTCACTCGGTACATTTCAGCAATATATGCACCAGTAATATTACAGGTGCTTTACTGTTTGTTGGATTTAGATAACTTGGAAGTCGTCAATCAACGAAAGCACTAATACGTTAAATACGGTTTTTGATGTCTCGACAATATTTACCAAAACAATATACCATATTTCCTCGAATAAGCGCTCACGCTCTAATAAGCGCCTTCCCCAGATTTATGCCTGGTCGCTCATGTGCCGCCGATATATCTGCCGACGTAGCCGCAGGTACTGCCTGGGCTACTTCTCGGACGAATGAGAACATGCGCCGCCGACAACTAGAGCCATCGCAGATCTTTACCGCCGGCATGCCTATGAAGTTGAACTCGAGTCACCTTCGCAGGCATTGAGGCGGTAAAGACTGGGATGACCAATGTTGCCGGCCACTTCTATTCTCAATCGGAACAGTATCCCAGGCCCTCCTCGAATAAGCGACCCTCCCCTCCCCCATCACTTTCTTTAATAGTAGGAATGCAAGGGAAACGTAGCCTGTGAGCAAGCTCTTCAATTGCAGCGAGCAAAGCAAGCTGCGAGAGAACGCGCCCCTTGCATTCGTGTCTCCGGTCGCGTGACTTCTCGCTACTCTCCCAAATGCAGAGAGGAAAACCTGTTTCTATTGCCACTTTATTGATAACTCTGAGTGTAAATCGTATAATGGGACTAAGGTAGTCACTTGATTACCAACCGGGAGCACTTAATAAGCGTCCTCCTAGATTAACCGCCCTCCTTTCATTTATAGTGCTCACCGTTTTAGCCGAAATTTTTAACAAGCGCCTGGGCGCTTATTCGAAGAAATGGTATAGTTCCAATGCCGACCGATCATTGATGATTGTTCCTTACTTCAACTTAGCGCGGGTCTTCAACACGCGTCGTACCTTGGAACACCTTGTGCCCTATTTGCCCTCGCGTTTGTGGCGCCTGGTCATTCTAGGGATGAGGGTGGTGGAAGATAAAGCTGACTTTTTTTCATATATATCACTGATATTCTCCGTCTCTTTGTTATTGCAGCGATTCTTGCCCAAAGTTGATAAGGCATCTCTTTTAATGCCAGAACGATAAAACTTGGATTTTTCATCGACGGCTCATTAGAACCAAACATGGGGACTGGTGCGTCAAAAAAGCCGAAAGTGGAAAATAAACAACTCAAGCCTGCACGCAGTAAGCTCATGGCAGCGGTAGCCTTGGCAAAGCCAGGCGCAGTTCCAGGTTTGTGTTCTTTGTAAATGATTGCCTTTTTCCCGGTTTTCAGTGACGTCACTGATAGGGAGCTTTAAACTCTGAGGCGAAAGTGAAAAGTGGTTGTACAAAGATTTGTGAAGATCAATAAAGAATCCCGCAAATGTGTTAGCAAGAGGAAACATAGGACAAAGTTGCGAATATCGGATCTAATAAAGCATGGCTACCGTAAGCGCGAATTCAGCTACCCTTTACTAAACACACCCTGTAACAAAGTAGTACTTTGACCCCAAGGGGGTTACTCCCTTTAATAACCTATATGGGGAGGCTTCGCCCGAAAGGGGTATAGTTTTTCAGGCTTCAGGTCATATGGAAGGGTCGGGATTTCGCTAGTTGAAGTATATGAAAGGGTTGGGAAATCTGTTATTTCGGTCTGTAAAAAGGCCAAAAGTAGAGGTATAAAATTAGCACACAGGCCGAGTTTTACCTTACGCTTCTCTTTTTTAGCGCCGGGAATGCAGAAAAAAACAACAATCGAAACGTTGTGGAAGGAGCCAAGACATGAACGCGGCAAGTGGAAAGAACTCTTGGAGAAGAACTTAGTGGACTTTGAACCTGTTCCTCTCGATAAAAATATGGTGAATACATTGCTGCGAGGAAAAACGCTACAAACTAAGGTGAAAAAAGTTTTTCTGTTTGAACTATCATCTTTTAATTTAGTATTCTTAATGTATCTCTTGGTGTTGCGCTCGATTGTGTTGTAAGGATCGATATCGTGTAACTGTACTCAGATATATATCTTTTGTTCTAACTTTGTTTTAGGCTTCCGATATTCGGATCATTCGGGTTTTCATCAGCTCAACCTTTACGGATACAGCGCAGGAAAGAAACCTACTTATCGCTGATGGTACATGGCTCTTTCTTCTTGTTGTTTTCTTGTTGTCAGACATTGCCCAGTCCCCAGGCCTCATTGTTCCGTGTGGCTTATGCGTTTCAAATCTGACGTGGTCCTTTCGTCTCAGATACGTCACCGAAATTTATTGACCCAGAAGGCCTGGGAAGACGCCGTACAGGGACTAGGCAAGATCAGACTGTCGATAGGCTGGAAGTCAAATTGCTCCAAAAAAACCTCCCTCTCTGGAGAACTTCTTTCATCTTATTTGAGCCTAACCGGGAAACTTCCTTTTTTTGCACAACTATCCTGCCAAGCAGGCTAAAATAACAACTACTAAAACAACTACTATAACAACAACTAAAATATAGTGTGAAAATTATTTGTGAAACAGAAAACTTCTCTAAGCCTGGAATAAGACTTGTCCTCTTCGCATAAGCGCCTATTTTCACATTTTCTAGTTGCATTAGGTATCTCATACGTTTCTCTCAGTTGTCCGGCACGCTTGCACTCAAAACAAGATGGGAAAATTGTCTCGCAATCAGTTAGATGTAGGTGGTTGCGAGGACTGAGCCCAACCCGAAAAATGACTTAGTCTTCACTCGTATGTCATATGTTACTGATCGCCTCTTACTAATTCTACCAGAGAATTCTTTTCGGTAAGTTTTTTTAACGACTCGATCGACTTCGTGTCGCTGACCGAGTAGCTGGCTTGTTTTACTTTCTTTCTTGCGAAGTAAAAAAGCCAACTGTACGCGAATGTCAGAGCCGCAATACCCAAAGAGACCTCTACTAGTGGGGAAACCATTTTTCGCTGTTGGCTCAAGAAATAATGGCTTATTTTCTTCTTCACCAGTCTATCCGTACTTGAAACTGTTCGGAAGGAAATATGGATTTGAATTTGCGTCGTCGGAGATGCGCTGGGGGATCAGAGAGGAGTAAGTGTCCGCAAACTTGACTTAAAAGTAATCTCTTGACTGTATGGCTTAGCAATCAGGTAAGCATTAGTCCACATTGGCCTAAATCCCCTTGGACGCCTTATGAAGTTTACACCACCCAGTATTACTTGTTGCTTCGCTATATGGTCCTATATATAGTGATATGGGTTAAGCAATACTAACAAGGGTTAAGCACTGAAAATTGTGATTAAGGTTAATCACTGACTATAGTGATTAGGGTAAAGCCCTGAAAATAGCGATTAGGGTTAAGCATGCGCACTGACTCGAATTTGTCAGCTTCAAATCAAACCATTTCTTGCCAGTTAAACGTAATAGTATAAGTGACGGACTGCAGACACCACACTCCGGGTTCGATTCATACCCTAATTTCCTTAAAAATTAAAGTGACTTACACTTTCATGAACAGTTACTGAGCAGTAATTTCAAGAGACTTAAAAAATTTCATCTAAGTGTAGTGTGGAAGCAATAAAGAATGATGCGTTGTCCAAGGGATTTAGGCCGATGAGATCCGATACTGAACTACCAATCAATTCTTTGGTGCTTATTGTTTTCTTCACCCACTCACTCTTTCAGGTCCTCCTCTGATCACATGACCTCGATAATTTGTATGGCCGAAATAGCCAGGTAAATATTTATGGGTGATGCATGCATCTCACTTATGATTACACGTGACTTACCGGCCTGTTTTCTTTTTCACAGGTGTCAAAGAGAGTCGCAAGGAATCAACTATGTTGCTTTCTTGGGTGATAAATATGGTAGGTTGACTTAGCTGATTTCTTCTGCTGTTAAATTGTCATTTTTCAAACATTTATTGGCATCAAATTTTCACAAATCATAGATCGTTTTTTAAAAGCTACAGAGGGGTGGAAAGATTTAGCTTTCAAGCGTTCCTTGTTTAAGAACTGTTTGATTCTAAGTAGAACAGGCGGTGATTTATCTCGGCATCTGACAGCGACGAACATAAACAACCAATGCATTTCCGAATTGTCCCATGCCTCTGTTTCGGAGCGAGGCTTAATGCGAAGACATTCATATGAAAATGATTTTTTAATCTCATGCAAATAAAAGTCATTTTCAAAAGAAATATTTTGCACTTTGCTTCGGTTTGAACGTGAGTAACTCGGTAGTGGCCTGGACTACAAGAGAGAAGAATGGGCATATCTGGGGTAAATTGATTTAAAAATCACCGCTGGCAATATTATTTCGTAATATAGAAACGACTCTCTTATTTTGCGCGCGCGTTTTTTCCCTTTTATTGCGTAACTATTCGAACGGCAAATGCCACTCTACTGGAATTTGTCTTTGCCAAGGAAACGAGTGCATTTACTGCGAAACTTCAACTAAGTTACGGAAGGTTTCAAGAAACAATCAAAAGGTATGTTGAATACCCGGCCAATCTGATAACTGACTCCTTCACTCCTTTTGTCCTTTAGTCAACGAGTCCGAATTGTACTTGCGGAGTCCTGCAGTCACCCAGTCATCAAGTGCATTTCCTATACCTCCTCATTGTTGAAAATAACACCTGTGTAACATTATATAGTTCGTTCCTAAAACCTTTAATCTTGTAAACATTGCTTTCTCCTTTCACCACTCATGAATACATACATTAGTGAGGCTTTGAAGTACACCTCAAAAAAACTTAGATGGCGTCAACTCTTAATGTGCACTGCTTCTGCTGCACAAAACAAGACAATAACGGGATTTTTATTACTACGCTGTGCAAATTTTAGGAGAACCAAAAGCTAAAGCGAGTTTACCAAGAATGACTGATTAGATTATGTGACATACATTGCTGCATAGCTCCGCACCATATATGACACGCCTCGAAAAAAAACCTTCTAGCGCAAGTTTTTATTATTGCTCTCACGTAATCACGTAAGTTTCAAAATAAATATGATTTTTCTTTTAAAGGGTAGACTTTATGCGACTCAACATTTTACTGTACCCCTGAGTCAAAAGATCAATTGTTTAGAAACTGAAGCATGCTTTGATTGTGCAGTTCAGTTTTCAAAGTATGGTTTTGCGCAGGTTATGGGCTCCTGTTTTGCGTTTCAACTTGCGCGCACAAGTTTAAACCTCTGTGCGCGCACATAACATGCGCTATTTGATTGGCTTAGATTTGCGCGCGCAAATTCGCCGTTTGTTATGTCACAAAGGGAAACATTTCAGTTCGTCAACGAAAAGTCTCGTTTCAGGCGCTTTTTTTGGAAGAATGAAGAGTTTGCTAAATAACTCCTTCATAGAAACTTTTTTAACGCCTTAGCTTCAAGGAATAGAAACGTGTGACAAAGAAGTATATGGTAGATTGATGTCTCATGTTTATTTCGGGTCCTTTGTCAAAGATTTGTAGAGTAACTTTAAAGGTGATTCTACGCGGGAAGATTCGCAACGGCGATTTTTATCGCAACACAGCGTCTAGGTTGCAATTTGTTGTTGTTGTTGTTGTTGTTGTTGTTTTTTGTAAAAAACCGTCGTTGTGAATCTTCCCATGTAACATCACCTTAAGAAAATCGTTGGGTGCTTTGTTCTTAGCATGTCTGCACTGGGGAATTTCGTTTTGGCTTCTCTTAAGCCCCATTCACATCAAAAGCTGTTAAGTCAAATACGGTTTAAATTTTCTTCTCATTGTACTTTTATTGCTGGCAATTTAAGTGCAATTATGTAACATACTAAAGATCATTTGAATTCTGTGTAGAAGCCTGTGTTTTAGTTTTCCGTCAATGTTTTTAATTTTTTAAACCTGGCTTTAATTAAACATGCTTAGTTAGTGTGACTAGGACGTTAGTAAGATACAGGGCTTGGATATTACAAATAATTTGCAGTAACGATACCAATACAAAGTACTGTTTAAAGGCTTCCTTGTTCAATGTTTTTTTTGTAGGGTTTCGTCCTTTTCCATCGCGTATTGAAGCAAGTGAATTTGAGCAGCTTCAGGCACAAGCTGAAAAGGACAATGACCCGGATGTTAATCTGCTCAGTGAATGGTTAGCTTGTAACTGTGTTTGACTAGCTTTTTATTCATAACTATTATTGTAGCGGTTTTATGTTGAGATGTACGCTAATAATGTACTCCTAAGTACGTTTTTCACTACATATGGGTGCTGATTACATGAACCGCTGCGCCCGGTTTGGCGAGCTCGCTCGCTTTGCCCAAGTGACTTTTATCCCGGTATTTCACGTTAGTGGGCTGACTGGGTTGTCGCGTAATAACAAAGCGATTTCTTTTGCGTTTTTAACGTGCTAGGATCCTAGCAGCGTAACGTTTACCCAAGAGAGGTTCACCACACTATCGGGGTCTATGCCTTCCACCCCCCACTCTGGCAACAGTGTGGGTTCTTTTACGTCCGAAAAGAACCAGATTAATGAAAGTGTTTTGAGACAGAGCCATGGATTTTCGTCCTTATCCGAGATAACTAGATATGTAAATCTTCAACAAAGGCGGGACCTTTTCCTTAGTTATTTTAGGATTCCCAGTGCTGCACCAGCGCTGGACCAGCCGGGAATCGAAACCGGGCCTACCGCTCAAAAGTCTGAAACTCAACCCATTAGGCTAACCAGTCAGCGGTAAGTATAGTGCGAACTGCTCTGACTAACTGACTACGAAACATTGTTTCCAAGCTTAGCTAGGCCCTAACTAGCCAATCAGCAACGGAGGCAAACAATGGAATAAACTATCCAAGTAAAGCCGATAACTAGTCTCCTTCGCAGCAGCTCGGGCCGCCTGAGTCACATTGCGTCAGGTCAGCGAAGAAAACGGTTGCCTTGGTTCTCCATTAGAAAGTAACCGGACATTTTAGAAAGACAAAAACAGGAACGAAATTGCGATCTGCCTTCTCTTAAGGGGCCATGTAATTGTGTCTCTCATTCCCAGGTTTGATTTAAACACAAATCTGGTACCTCATACATACATCCTAAAGCCAAGCAGTCAGGCGCAACATGGAAAGTGGTGGGATATATTCGAGAAGTTACAGATGACTCTAAGAAAGGCGTCACGCTGTTTAAAGGACAAAGAAAGGTATTATTGTGCTATTTTCCCTTGTATTAAAACCTCTTAAGTAGTCTTAGTAAGCTGAGCAAAGGATTATTCAGCGTTCTCTCCTATTCGTTCCTACAGTGACGGGTTGGAGGGAACCCTGGGAACGAGGTTGAACCACACCCATGTTTACACCCACGTTTAGTGACTGGATTCCAAGTCCCCCATACGAGCAACTCGGCCCAGCTTCCGCACTGAGTTCCGCTCGCTAAGAAACTTTCATTAAGGGTCACTCGAAGAATGTCTGGCCACGCCTTCAGAAAGCTATCTTCTTTTCTATGTTTAGAGCAAAGTGGTACACAGTATCAGTCACAGAAGAAGAAGTCCATCGTGGTTTACTTAACATGAATAACAGAGATCAAAAGACGTTCTGTTATCGCAGGAAAATCATTAATTTAGACAACAACTACCAAGACAAACCTGCAGGAAAGTTTATTGACAAAAAGGTAGGATCGACAATCACTTAGTTTTATCTTAGTAGGCCGTGTCATCATTAGATACCTTTAGATTCTAAGCTTAGACGACGATTACGATAACAAGATTTAACGTGCTAGCCGTCCTCATTTTACTACGGGTTTTTAGCTAGAAACGTTAGAAGTTTTGTCAATTTATGCGTCAGTCAATTTCAGCTGCGCCCAGCCCCCCCACTCCACCCCCCCCCCCCCACCCCACCCCCCACCCCCACCCACAACCAACCACCCCACCGCCCTCCAGCACTCACCCACTGATTTTTGCGTCACGTTACCCGTCTCCGTTCTTGCGCCCTCGTGCCCCCATCCCGTCATTATCTCTTTACTGTGTTTAAATACACACACATTTGACATCTTGAGCTACTTGGAGTAGCAGCACTCACGTCCCCCACCCCCCCACCCCCCCCCCCCCCCCCCCACACACACACACACACACACACACACACTCCGGGCTGAACCCTGTGCATTAGCATTTTTTTGCCTTGGATGGCAATTTCCTGGTGCAGGGACTCTTGAGCTGTCAAATCCCCCGGGGTGGGGACGAAAAAAGAGGGCAAATGCCCCGTCCTTCATCAACACTGCAACACTTTCCATTGATTGCACAGTCGAGTAGTGCCATTTTAAGCATTTTAATGTGCGATTTCTTGTTTAATTTAAAGTCTGCCTTTGTAATAGCGCTATTCTAATTAAGACCACTCCGCAACGCATTTTATTTGAGTGTCAATAAGCTTCGGTAAAACGTGCAACTTGTTAGGTGCAACATTGCCGCAAAACGAGTTAAATAACGATGTTGCGCGTTTAACCCAACCAACCTCGTTCAAACTTGTTAATAACCTGATTTGTTGAAAAATAGGTTTGATGTGGCTGGTAAAACGCGCAACATTGCTTTTCAACTCTTTTTGCAGGAATGTTGCAAAACAATTTGCACGTTCTTGTTGCCCATTTTACCGTACCTTTAAGAGCCACCCTAGGGGGAGGTATTTCTTGGAATTCTTGATGGGGGTGTGCCACCCGGTTCTCCAAATCCTGACGCTATTTCAGACCAAAAAATGTCATTTTTCACACCCGTTTTCAGACCTGGCCTCTAAAATCCATCCCTGTTTTCAGACCTGGAGGTGGTCACAAAACGCAACATACACGTTTACATCGACAGAAATAATGTCATCATTGCTGAGATTAGAACGCCAACAGAAATATTTCTTTCTTATTCATTTATAATAAAACGACGAACATATTCATACACCATCGTAGTTTCCTTTGTAAACCACACCCGATTCCAGGCCAAAATGGGCAAAATCTATACCCGTTTTCAGACCAAAACGGCGCTAAAACCATACCCTTTGGGACGGCACATACTTGTATGGCTTATATAAGGGAGTACCCCCCCCCCGGGGGAGCCACCGCAACTATGTGTAACACTAGATAAGTGATAGGAGTATAGTAGAAGGTTCCATAAAGATAGATTCAAATGTATGTTTCTCTCTAATTTTATTTTAAGTACAGCGATGGTACTATTGACAGTGAAGCGCAGAGGTTTCTTCATAAACTAAAGGACGAAAAGGTACCAGGTGCTCTAAATCCTTCAAACATTAAAAACTATACAGTAAACTGGGGTCCTGGAATAACACTGGAGCAACATGCAGATTACCTCAGGTTAGTTTGGGTTTCAATACATTTTGCCCACCCGTTTTACCACAAGAGTCAACTATGTAGACATTTTTGTCGTTCTATCTTTTGAATCTGTGGCGGTGTGACCTTTCACACAATACCTCTTATTTAGAATGTGGTTGTAACTTTTCAGATCCTATGGTGTGACAAATTAAATGAAATCTATACGGCACCTGGGAAGCACTATTACAAGCTTTTCTTTCTGGCGCTCGCTTCGCTCGCATGCTCCCAATCTCGCGAACGCCAAATTCGTCGGAAGAAAAAACAAATACAAAGACACAAAAAATGTTTGTGGATAGGCTGCATTTTAACCTCCGTCAAGCGGTTGTGGCAACAAACTCTAGTCGGAATGGCCAAAACGGCAAAAGGTGGCCCGCCGCAGTATAGTAGCTGCGTGAACTCTGGCATTTTTATGTTTTAAGCTATTTCGTTAGAACAGTGCATTTCGCCGAGATGTTGCCAATCGGATGAAAGCGTTTCTTACTATCAGTCGTCATGTTGCAAACGTTTCTTTCTACTGATCTAATTACTTTGTTTTTAAAGAGAGTTTGGCGACCATTTCTGTGACCTCATGGTGCAGTCAATGACTGAAGCAATCAAAGGTGGTCACGTGGCTGATGACGTACTATTTGAGGAGGTCAAAAGTCATGCAGTGTTTTGCCTGGAGAAAGCTGCGCAAGTGTATGGAAAGGATGATATTCTAGAAAAGGTATCGAAAGTGAACTTTGAGCACATGAAAATATATTAAAAACAGCAAACTAAGTATTTCGGATTTTCTAGTCGATCCCATCAACGGTACGGAGAAGCATCAATGTTCCTGAAATTCCGTGCATTTCCGTCACGATTCGAGCAGTTTGTTTTCCCACTCGCTTGCATGAGGAGCTACAGTGATTCAAAGTAACAATAGTGTTGTATGGTTATATGAGATAAATTTTTTTTTTTTGTAAGGTCGCTGGGAATCGGATTCAAACTGGTAGGGCCAGGGTACTCTAGCCAATGAGCCACAAGAGACTCATGGTGTGCAATTCCATTGACTAGGTGCAATAACCGTTTGGGTACCATACTATAAGACCATTAACCCCACAATACATGTCTGAGGGAGTTATCCACAACTTCCTCTTTTAGACCCGGCTTTTATTCGGAGCCTCGGCGTCTTATGGAGAAAGAACTATAGCTTTACATACATATTTATCATGTTTTTCCTAGGTGAGTTCGTATTTGACCAGCGATTCCTCCACGCCTTTGGTGATTCATGGTCCTTCAGGTTCAGGAAAGACAAGCATCATGGCAAAAGCAATAGCTAATGCTGTGGCATCGGTAATGTACACCGAATTATACTCTGATTTCTAATTCACCATGTAAATTGTATAGCTGATAGTTAAAGGATGTGTGCCATTGAATTTATCAAAATTCAAACAGTTACAACTGCCATGAAATTGAGTTAAACATAGAAATAAGCTCTCGAAAGTTTACAAAAAAAGGTATAACTAACACAACAAATATAAAAGGAGACAGACATGGACAAACTTGAAGAAAATTGAAATGGATTTCACTTTCACTTTTTGGAAACTTCTTAGCCTAAAGGTGGATATCCATTGTCGCGTAATTGTTCCGTGTAAACGCGCGTAAATAAAATAGAAGCAATGTATGAAAGGCCACGCATAAACGTGAAAGTTGAGCGAGGTTCAACTTTTACGTTTTCTGTTGACCTTCCATACATTGTCTCTATTTACGCGCGTAAAATTTATAACCGGCCTTTCTTTCTTCAAATCTCTGGTAGTTAGACTTCTGTGCAATATAATACTCATCTCCCTCCTACCCTCCATTCAAAGTTGTTCCTCAAAGTTTTGAGCACGGTCTTGTATTGCTTGCAACTTTGATAAGGGGAGGAGAAGGGATCACAAGCACAAGATCATGGTTTGGCCATTTAAGCCAAAATAAGGCACAGTGTCTCAAGCACTTTTGCACTTGATTGTAGCAGTGGCCACGCAATTGGTTTTATTAACAAAATGAGCCAGAAAACACAGTCCCTTCAATTACACGACTGACCCTTAGAGAGCTTAAGCAAAGATGTTTCTGAGCGACGCATGTCAAATTGAGGGACTTTTTGTATTCTTCGTCAGTTATTATACCTAGATTTTTCGGAGAATCGTCTCTATAAGAGTAAAAACGCTTATAAATACTTATTTGGTAGCGTCAAGGCAAATTGAAAGGGAAAAAATGCCTCACTTCCGGTTGACGTTCGTCGCTCAAAAACGTCTTTGCTGAAGCTTGCTATCCCCATTCCATGCAGTCTTCAGATGCAGTGATAATTTATCGTTTTCTGGGGACCAGCATGGATTCCACAGCCGCCCGGCCTCTTCTCCGATCACTGTGTATCCAGCTAAGAAGAATATACAGTAAAGATCCCAATGGGGTTGCCAACGATTTCAAGACTCTTTGCGAAGAGTTCATCCAAAATCTAAAGCTTGCAACCAACGGACAGCCCTTATTCCTGTTCCTGGACTCCTTGGATCAGATGACAGATGAAGACAATGGACGCAATTTAGAATGGCTTCCTTTTGAGTTGCCTTCCCGCAATGTCAAAATCGTGGTGTCTACTTTGCCCGAAGAAGGAGGATGCTTGAATAAGCTACGGCTATCTTTACCTGAAGAAGGACTAGTAGAGGTAGGTTAATTTGTTGGATAGAATGAGGGTACTTTGGCGAGTTGTCGTGTGAAGTGTGTGACAGGACATTAAGTAATTATTTCTAGCTGGTTGCTCTTTGAATCACGAGGCCTCTATGCAAAGTTTGGTTGAAGCAAGTAATCTACACTGTCTCGGTAGAGGAGTTTACCTAACATTTTCGAGAGATGTGTGTATTGTAGAGAGTCAGATGACGTGGCGAACCACTTTTCTTAGTAAAAAAAGGTCCAAGAACCACTTTTGAGAAACCAAATTTGGAGGCGTTTCATTTGAGGCTTCTTTGAGAGGTATCGACTCACAAGCTCCAAGTTCTCATAAGAACACTGCTTGCATCTATACTAACATTAGTAATAACCAAAGGTTATGGAGTGCGGGCGACAATGATCGCGGGTCAAAACGCTCTTGCTCCAAGGCTGTGCTTTCCGTACGGTTCACGTGATAGATGGTCAAAACACGCGTGATCAGATTCCCAGTGATAAAAGGTCCAAACGTCTTGTGCATTCCATTCATTTTTAGTGGAAGTCCAAACAAAGCTGGCTACATACATGCGACGCATACGTGATGGAAACCTAGAGCTTAGGATTGCGGGTTCCTCCTGACACCCGCAAAGCTTCTTATCTATTGTTTTTGTTTTTATGCTCTTAGTCCAAGTTTCGAGGCAAAAAAAATTCTCGTGTACACAGAATAAGCTCAGTGTGTATGCTTACTTTCCAGGTCACTAAGATGTCCGCTAATGATGGCAAAGAACTCCTTGAATCCTGGTTAAAAGCCAGCAATAGAAGTCTGACTGCTTCACAAATGTTAGAAGTCTTAGACGCCTTTAATGAATGCCCTTATCCGCTATTCCTCAAGGTTTGCAAGAGCCCAGCACCTTATCGCAATTACTTTATTATATTTAAGTTGTCCGGCATCAAAAGAGAAACAATTCTAAGCAAGTTCTTGAAGACTGTGACTTACAAGTAGACTAGCTTTGGGTGGTGAACAAACTTGTGCACTAATGGAACTATATCCTCGGAGCGTCTACCCCCTATCAGTAAGTGTCAGAGCGAATAAGACATTCAGTCAATTATAAGATTTCCCTTCCCTCGAAATTCCTTTTGCTCGCAGACTTCTACACTATCCAATGTGACAGTTGGTCTTCTATAAAGGCTCTCTGGTCTGCTTTTCCGATGTTCCTCAATAAGCTTAACTCTTTTGGCTTCACTCTTTGCTGATCCCATCCGCTATTGCTGGAAATCCTACTCTGCTTTGATTGGCTGAACTTTTTTAATAATCAATGATGTCACCAAGCAATCATTTCTTTTTTTTTTTGGAGTGCCCGCAAACCGCTAAAAGAAAATAAATTCGAGTGGAAAATGAAATTTAAGTGGTAATCCAAGTGGTCTTTCATGAAATCGCATATTTCAGTTGGTAAATAAATCGACAATTCGGCCGTTATTAGAAAATAGATGATTAATGTGCTGGCGCATCGTCTTCCCAAGGGTGAAATAGCCAACTCCCTTTTTACGTTATATATGCTATCTTCTTTTGTGATGACTCCAGACGTTTCTGAGAAGTCCTTTTCCTTCTCTTATCTTCAGATTGCGTTTGAGACTTCATGTACGTGGACCTCTTCCACTCCAGTTGATGACATCACTCTGTCCAGGACTGTGAGACAACTCATCGATGACATGTTTGACAGGCTTATTCGTATCCATGGCAACTTGTTGGTTGATCACGCCCTGGGATACCTTACAGTTGCTAAGTTTGGATTAACAGGTTCAATTTTGATTCTCTTGTCATCTGTTAAACTAGTTTTTTTGTGTGTGTGCGAGGAAACGTTTATTTTTTATCGCTGCATGTCATTTTACTGATTACTATTTTTTCATCCTATATTTACAAAGCTGATCTCATTCATGGACGACAGTGATGAAAATAGCAAGCAAACATAGTTTGCATTCATGCTTTTCCATGTCATATCTGCCCGTCTGTTTTGTTATCACTGCATATGTACTTCGCAAAGTCATTGATGACTTATAAACAATATCAAACAAGGAAATAATTACCTTGAAGGAGGTTTGAATATTCGAAATGTGTTCCCAATTCATTATTGTATAGTGTAAGGGAAGTTTGTTTTAAATTATTCTTCGATAGTTAATTTGTTTTTAGAACAAACAAATTGATTTTTTTTTATTCACACATATCGAATTCAGTCCAGAACATTCGACTAAACCTTGTTCGTTCACTGGAAAACACTTTTCTACGTGTTTGATATCTTCCTTAGAAATATATCATTATTTGACAATCGAAGTAATAATCCAATCAAACATCAAACATCACTCGAGAAAAAAATCGCCGCTCTTTGTATAACAAGCCCAAATATCAGTGTTTGAATACCGCTCAAGACACTCCCCCTCGTGTTTCTTGTCTTACTTCGCAGCCAATGAACTAGAAGATATACTGTCATGTGACGACGAAGTTTTGAATGACGTGTACCAATGGTGGGAACCTCCTGTGAGGCGGCTTCCTCCGTTGCTGTGGGTCCGCATTCAGACAGACCTGGGACCCTATCTTGTAGAGAGAGGGCTTAAGGGAGGCACACCCGTGTTGTCATGGTATCACAGACAGTTCAGAGAGGCGGCTGAGGAGGTATGGAGTTACGTACTTTCTCTTGATTTTGCTCCGAATGCATCTTAAACCCATCAACGCCTCATAAACCAAATGAATTAAAAGCGCTTTTAGAGGGAAAGCCCAAAGGTATTAAGCGATATTTTTTCATTAATAAGGTCTCATTGAAATGATTATTTTGACCAAGCAATATCGCTTGCCTTATAATATCTCTACTTTCAATTAATGGGACAGGGACATTTTTATAATCGATTTATGTACTCTTAAAGCAGTAAAAACATAAAAATATCATGTCCCAACAGCCGAATCTTCATACTTTAAAGGTTGTTAGGAAAGCCTACGTCGACTAGAAAATTAGTTAATCATGGTGGGAAACTCTTATTTTTAACAATGAAGTACCTGAAAACAAGGACGAACTAACTGGACGCAATTCCTTGTATGGATAAAGAAACTTTTAAGAATTTCTGTGAAAAGGAATAAGGCAAATACAATTGGCTCTAAAAAGACAGATCCTTTTAAAAGGCACCGAAACGTGAGTAAAGAATGATCTCCGAGCCGGACTCTGCAACACTTCTCTTGACTGCGATTTGCGCTCGTATATTTTCATCATCTATTAAGTGTGTGGTAAAATTCAACTTTGATAATGAAGCTTTGTTCGGAGATGTAAATTATCATCCACAAAGCATTTTGTATGCTTCATTTTCAGAGGTTTGTTTCTGATCCAGAAGTACGGAAGAAGCGTCACGGCGCCATTGCCGAGTATTTTATTGGCCGCTGGGCAGGACAACCTCTACCATACGTGGGGAAAGATGGTAGGGGTCATTATACGTTTCTGGGAAACTGCCCACCTACCCCTTCCCTAAGCCAACATTAACACCAACGTCTCAGTTAGGGCAGAATGTTGGCTTAAGGGAGGGGTTGGCGGGCAGTTTACCAGAAACATATATGGTATATATGGTAGTTACTACACAACTAAGTTGTAAATAAGTAGGTTGAGTTTGATCGTCCGGGTGAACGTAGTCCTCAACAGGACTGTTGTTGTTGGCAGTGACTGACGTTTCGACAACCTGTGCAGTTGTCATCTTCAGAGTCAAAGTGAGTTGTATCACTTCAGTTGATTTGATGGTATTAAACTCTGGTTATTGGCCTGATTGGTCAATTAAGTCGCGATGTTATTGGTCGTCTATCGGTTAAGCCGTGATGCTATTGGCTATGAAGACTCGTAAATGTCATCGGTGCGTTTCAATCCGTCTATTGTCGCAATTAAACAGTCTTTTATTGTTACTCAAATTGTCAGTTGTCCAGTCGTTCTCTCGTGGTTAATTTTGCTTGATTCCGTCAAAATTATAGTCAGTAAAAGGCAGTGTTTTTAGTTGTCACAAGTAACAGCTTCGGGCCATTGAGACCATGTGACCGTAGTAGTATGGTAGGGACCGACTTATCCTTTTTTTGCACAGGAGTCTCATTAACTTGAAGCAGGAATATATTTTGGAAGAAAGGGAATTCTTATACCAGAAAACTCAGAAAAAATTCCGAACTCCAGGTGAGAATCAAACTCACGACCCTCCGAGTTCTAGTTCGGACGTCCTAACCACTGAGTTACTGGATACTCTATGGCTCTATTAACGCCGATGACGTCATAAACTTTTGTCTTAATCTCATGAATAAAATGAGGTGGATTATCATTAAGAGAAGGTCATGTCCTCTTTTTAGGTGGACTAACCCGTTTGGACAAGTTTCCTAGTTATTTTAGGACTGATGAATGTCTTGATTTTCGATTTATTCATGAAATAAAGACAAAAGGCTATGGCGTCATTGACGTTAATATATTCCCGCGCAAGTTAATGAGATTCCTCCTACTATTGACCGAAAATTATCCGGTTTTAGGAGCATGAGGCACATAGGAGTGCTAGTCCTTCGCAAGGTTAACCCCCAACAGAATGTCCTAACACGCGGCGTCTCATTTTTCTCGCTCACCCTTCCCAGCGTAGTTTTCGTCAACGTTAAACGTTCGCATGGTCCATTGCGCGGAAATCATTGATCATTGATCGCCCGCAGAAGTCGCGCTTTCCAAACACTTGAGACCTTAAGGAACGAGGCAGGCTAATACCCATTTATACTCCTGGCCCTATTTGCTCAAAAGTTGGATAGGGCTATCCACCGGATAATAGCTATCCAGTGGATACGTAATAGGAAAACCAATTGCACTATCCATACAATGTATAGCGCTATCACCTTTTGAACAACTGGGACCTGTGTGAAAAGACAGAAATTAGAGGAACGTTTCTTCTTAAGGGAAAAACACAACAGCAATGCTTGACCACGGAACTATAGATCCCAAGTCGGAATTCTTATCGACTACACCCCCACTCCCCCACGATAACCAGTTACCACAGTAAATTTTTGTGTCGTCATGTTTTTGTTTTGTTTTCAGGTTTGTCAAAAACAGCTGATCGCAAAGTTGCTTCTCAACCACTCGTGTTAAACCAGACGTCCTCCAGCGACACAAGGTAATAAACAGTTTAATTTACACCTTCAACCAAGGAGTCAACCCTAGAATATCATTCGATGTTATCCTATAATTTCCAAACTTTGTCGAAACAACTTCAGTCCGGGCCATAACCATTTTTGGATACTCGATGACGCCATCAATAATGGCTTCTGGTGCTGACTTTGTCAGAACTCATTTTCATCTCTTATTTAAGCCTTAGCGGATTTAGTTCTCAGTTATATTCAAGGAAACCTTGTGAAATTAGAGGCAAAGAGTGACTACATACAACAACCGAATAGGTGATAGTTTCAGTCGTGATTGGAGATAGAAATTCTGTGAAAAAGTCGAGCAAAGGAGCTTTCTGCGAGGGCGCTGATTAAGGAGTCGCCTCTCTTAAGTTACCGTTTTCAGGTATGTAGCATCATTTTGGTTTCAGCAAAAAAAATATTTTCAAAACCTACAATTAATTTTCTTCTGATTTTTCTTAAAGTTCCTGTCGAGTGCCCAAGACTTAAATTCGAGTGCCCGGACGTTATGGAACAAACTAGGCACTGACTCCCTTTGTTCATAGCTGTCGGAGAGTTGTGTAATCCTTACTTTGGGACTGTTTTTTTTTGTGAGGCGTTTCAAAATTTTTGTTATTTTTTTGAATTTAAAATCCAGATAACATGGCCTGGTATTCTGTAGTTTTGAAAACTGCATTTATAACACTGTAGCTTTCATGTACGCTCGTGATGTTAAGATTCCAGGCATGAAAGAATGAACTGCACATTCAATAACACTTTTCTGGTTTATTACCGAAGTTTGTTTCGGCGATTGCCGCAAATAACTGCCATCAAAAAAATGTTTAACTCTTACTCATTTCTAGTATCTCTCTGCCAAGTTTATTTTGTTTTGGTTTTGACCTCAACCAATCACAAGGCACGAAACTGATATCCAGAAATGGTCATGGCCTGGACCAGTTTTTTGTCCACGGCATTTCCCCCTTTTTGTCGCGGCACAATCTACTTTAAAAAAAAATGAGCTACGTTTTTACCCCCACTACCCCCTAAACAATGTTGTACCGCTGCTTAAAAAAACATGAATACCCGAAGAAAGCTGCAAACAAAGCAACCTTAGTTGGCGATGGGGCGTTGGGAGGGGCCCGGGTTTTTTCCCCAAATATACTTTAATTTCTCAATAGTGTCTCAATGTTGCAACCTATTGTAGCTGTTGGTTATAAAACGTGACCCGGATTCAAACGACATGGGCAACGAGTGGTACTGTACTCGATCGAGTACTTTTCGTTATACTTCATATGACAGATTTATAACTCTCTGGTTGTATGCTGGAGAAGCAACCAGTGACTATTAGAAATGAATGTTACAGAGCAGCGCTTTTGTGCGACCCTGTCAGATTTGAACTTATGAGGGGCGACATGTAGACTTGCTACAAGTCGATCTCTCGTAGTTCTCACCTAGTTCACACCTTAGCGAGCGTAGTGAGCGAACAAAAGCAAACGAAGCGAGCTTCAACGAGGTAAGGCATAACCGACCAGAAAAAAAAAAAATTAAAAGGACTTTTAGAAAGACTAGGCGACATGCTGTTCTTCACTGTTACTTATCGAAAGAAACCCTTTATTTTATGTAATAAAAATGATATACTTATTCCTCTTAATTAGTTCCAAAACTCGTCAGTACAACATGAGGAAGCTGACAGAACTACCCACAGCTCTCATTGGCGCAGAACGATGGCAACTGTTTTTGGAGTCTGTCTGCTGTATTCCGTTTATAGAGGTAAGCTATATATGGGGTAACCCTTACATGTTTTGGGATGAGGGTGAAAGGCTCCCATGTTGAAGCCACGAACCATGTTCTTCGATACATAATGAGGCTATTTTTCCCAAGAGTCGTTTCCATTTAACACATTAAAATACTTAAAATTATAGTGAGGTCAGACATTTCCCCGTAATGACCGAACGGACGAGGTTAACAAGTTAATTATTATATGGCCTTTTCATTCTTCACCTGAGCTTGCGATCCATTAAAACCAACACATGGTCCGCGGATAACATTAAAAAACACGTCACTTTAACGATTTGTATACTTGAGCCCTAGATACATTAAGGTGGCACTGGTCAGTGGAGGCTCTTTTTTACAGCCGTCAATTGGCCATAACATGGATGTCCATAAGGATGCCCACTATCAAGTTAAACACAGATTGTATTTGCCTTGGACACCTTGCTAGTAATGCCCGGTCATTACAAGAAAAGAGCCAATCAGTGCGCACGTGCTATTGTAGCCATATAATAAAACGATATAACGAAGGGCTAAGGGACTGGCAAAATTTGTTCGCTATACCGAGGTTTCGTTATGTCGGGGTTTTTTTTTTATATATTTTACCTCTTTTTCAGGCAAAGTGTAATATTGGTCTAGTTTACGAGCTCATAAACGAAATAAAACAGGCTTCAAGCCTCGCGAGGTCACGTGGGAACCAACAAGCAGCCTTGAGTTTTAAAGAGTTTGCGCAGATGTTAAGTGAAAATGTTCAAGTTCTAGATCAGTACCCAGAATGCACCTTACAGCAATCTGCTAATTTTCCTGACTCAAGCGCACCGGCAAAGGCGGCTCAGGTAAACAATGTAGTCTTCTTACGAATTCATTCAATCATGTTATGTTCGCCCTGCATAAGGAAATTCAATACTGTTGGACTCTGGAAACCACGCCATGGATTCTAGATTCTAGCTGCTAGATCCTGCATTCCTTGTCGGTGGAACTTGATTCTGGATTCCAATGTTTAGTGGGATTCCGGATTTCTTGAACTGAATTCAGGATTCCAAAAGCCAAAATATGCTGGCGATTGGCTGTTCATTCGCCCGGTTTCCGTAACAAGTTAGCTGAGTCGAACTTGAAAAGTGAAAACTTCAAGGAAGAGTACATTACTCTCAACCCATCAAAACAAATAATACAATCAAAGAAACACACAGATGTATTCTAGGAACCTTTTCTTTCTACTTCCAGACCTATATAGCCTCTCTGACTAACAAGCCGCATTGGTTATGTCACGTGAACAAACCTCAGGAGTTGAGCGCCAAGGTGCTGTCTTTAAACTGGGGTAGATTCTCTGGATCTCAGTGTATTGTTTTCTCACCCGATGGCCGCCATCTTTGTTGTGGCACAAAATCCGAGACTGGTCGCACGTATTACTTGACCCTATGGGACGTCGAAACAGGCAAGTGCCATGTTTGGTTTGCGATTGTGTATTAAACACCAGAGGGGGTGTTTCATTAAATATTCAAACACAGAGAAGTAAGTTCAATAAACGACATGAGCAGAGTTTCTTTAAGACCGACTTTGAGGTGTCGCGAGAGAGGGTGGCTTGACAAGGACATTACGGCCATCGGCTCCAACTAATGTGGGTATCCAGGAATCCCTTCTTTACACAACACACGAAAGGTGGACTACGCTACCGGGCTGTAGGTCCCTTTTACGATTTGAGTAGCAGTATGGGTCCTTTCAACTCCCCTTTCGACAATGAAATATGCAGGCTGAGACAAGACCAACGGCTTAATCCTTTAAGTATTTTTCTCTTGGCAATATCAGTACACACTGAGTATTTATAAAATGATCACCAATAGGAAAATGCCTTGGTCTTTTATCAAATTCTCTCCACTAATTCTTGGGGCTTGAAGGGGTTAACACATGTGCCCAATAACTCGATCGTCTAAACTGTGAAAAAGGTCTTAATCAAAGCCAACTTGTTTCGTGCAACTGGAAACATTAGTAACTTTTCCAATGTCATATTTTTCAGGAGCACTGTTGATGACAGTTCCTAGTGAGAATAAAAGTTATTTCCGAGTGTTGTATTCGCCCGACGGAAGTCACGTTGCCTGTGGGATGAGTAAGGCGGAAGTCAGAATACTGGACAGTACCACTGGAGCACAGGTAGGGCGCTGCTGCATNACTACGCTACCGGGCTGTAGGTCCCTTTTACGATTTGAGTAGCAGTATGGGTCCTTTCAACTCCCCTTTCGACAATGAAATATGCAGGCTGAGACAAGACCAACGGCTTAATCCTTTAAGTATTTTTCTCTTGGCAATATCAGTACACACTGAGTATTTATAAAATGATCACCAATAGGAAAATGCCTTGGTCTTTTATCAAATTCTCTCCACTAATTCTTGGGGCTTGAAGGGGTTAACACATGTGCCCAATAACTCGATCGTCTAAACTGTGAAAAAGGTCTTAATCAAAGCCAACTTGTTTCGTGCAACTGGAAACATTAGTAACTTTTCCAATGTCATATTTTTCAGGAGCACTGTTGATGACAGTTCCTAGTGAGAATAAAAGTTATTTCCGAGTGTTGTATTCGCCCGACGGAAGTCACGTTGCCTGTGGGATGAGTAAGGCGGAAGTCAGAATACTGGACAGTACCACTGGAGCACAGGTAGGGCGCTGCTGCATCTGTTAGTCCGCGAATATTGCACTGGCCACCGCGGAGAGAAAACAAAGTTCGAAAACAAGTCGGAAACGTTGAGGATAATCTCAAGGCTATTCCAGCGATGCAATATCCACCTCTCTCCGCCGCTGAATTCTGTTTATGCATTTATATGTAATGTGTTTATGTCTCTCTTTTGCCACCATATGCTCTAAAACTTGTACATACGGAGTCGCACAAGGACAGTTAGTGGAAGTAGGTACGTCTTCAGACGTTCTAGAGTCACTCGATGAAAACTCCCTTCTCTGAGACAGTGTCCGCCGACCGTCTCGAAATTAGGCTAAGTAGAACAAGTAGCCTGTTCCCAGCTTTGTTCAGGGCGTTCAGATAGTAGGGAGCGGCGAGAAGTAAAGGAAGCGATGAAAAATGGTGGACTTAGCGACAGCCGTGGATGAACGTATTTCCTTACTATCGGAACGCCAGCAACAAGGTCTGGACGCCTGGAACGGGGTCTGGAAAGAGGAAAGATAAGAAATGGCTTTCGCTTTCCCTGTCGCTGAAAACACGCTTAACAGCCTACAACTACTGAATAAAAGTTCAGTGCCGCGTTTGTATGACGGTTTTTAATGTTCCTTTTAGGTTAAAAGTATGACCAATACAAGCAAAGAGTTTAAGAACTCCGAAGTCGTTCACATGGATTTCTCTCCAGATGGAAAATATCTTGCTGCAGGATACGAGTAAGTGTAATAACTAGTAAGCGTCTAATAAGTGTAGCACAGCCTTACAAACAAGTGATTTCCCGGCCGCGGTAGACGTTTGTAGCCTGGTGTGTTCGTTGTCCTATCTTGAATGACTCATGAGAACTTTTTCCGTTCAAATTTCATTCTATTGACATCTATATGAACGCATTCAGGCAAATGAAAAATTCTTTGAGAGGGACTCGCGGCCTGAAGTGAGGCAAAATGGGCATAAAACGCTACCGGTAGACAGCAAAGCACAACAGGTCCATTTCTGTGAAAAACCCAGAATTGATGTTTTTGTGTGTGCGTTATACCATTCGGCTATTTGATCACTTTCACTCTGTAAGAAATATTTTGCTCACGTTTATTGTTTCCTTCAAATATCTAGAAATCGCCACATTGTGATCTGGGATGTTGAAAACTGTGAGGTGGTCCATTCATTGGTAAACGAAGACAGTTCCTCTAAGTGGTAGGTCAGAAAAATGGGCTATGACATGTTTCTTTACCATGGTCAACTACGGTTGATCCCTAATTATGTCAGAGCAGTTTGACCGTGGTCAGCCTTAGTTCAATTTAACGTTCACGGTAGACCATGGCTGGAAATCTTAGCCTCGTACCCAGGCCAGTTCGCGCTATCCGAGTTACCAGAGGAGGCTTGGAACCGAGCGCGATTGCGAATTTTTTGTTAGTGAATTTTACCGACAAGCTTGACAGGTGACGTCACATCCGAAATCGCCGAGGACGACTGGAGACGAGGCTGTGGAAATCTATCTATCCAAGGTCCTCTCGCCGGGGAACAAGACTGTATGGTTTAATTACTAGCTGTACGCTGAGTTTTATTGGATGCCATGAAGAAAACAGTTATTAAAAGAACTGGAAAGCCGTTGACTATTGTTAGATAAATAAAGTTTCAAAAGAAACTGTAGTGCTACGCTGGTGAGGGAGTTAAACATAAAAAAGGTTTTATCTAAGCAGTCAATGAAGATGAATTCCCACTGTAAAAAATTAAAGAGCTTAGGTCAAGAACGAATGAAGGGATTGTAGGTTGTGTGTGGATTTTAATCAAACTTAGAGGTGGAGCTACAGAATATGTTAAATCACACAAGCCTTTACACTCTTCCAAGTTCTCTAAAAGGAATTGAAAAGCTTGATCCAGGTGGGGTTGATGATTTTTTTAACCTTTTTGATAGCCACGAAAGCAAGATCACTTCACTTCGGTACACACCAAACGGACGTTACTTGTGGTCCGTAGAGGAGAAAGGAATACACAAGACATGGGACGCGCAGTCTAATTACCAATGTCTAGCTAAAGGAACTTGTTTAGCAAAATGGTAAGTTGTTTGCACGTTATCTGAGAAGGTTTGTTTGGTGAATCCAAAAGCTCAAAAATAGGCATGTAATAAGTGTATAGAAACTGGCTCGTAACAAGTGCATGGACCTATAACGCGTTTTTGTCCCGGAAGGACTACTGAACAAAGGTTTATACGGGGAGGCTCCGCCCCGACGTCCATCCCTTTACCCCCTTATATCGTACTATTTTTGACAGAAAGGGCACATACCTAATTCAGAAATTTCTATCCCTTTTAACTGCTGTAAATGTACTGTCCTTAAAATATGAATAAATCATTAAACCACAAAACCAGAACGTTTTCTCGACTTAGTGACAGCCATAAAAGGCATCTGTCAGCCCTTTTTGGCCTTTTCACAGACCTAAATGACAGATTTCCTACCCTTTCGTATACTTCAACAAGTAAAATCCCCCACCTTTTCATAAACCTGAAGCCTGAAAACGGTAACCCTTCCGGGCGGAGCCTTCCCCTGTGGACCATTATAGGGACAACTCCCCGGGGGGTTGTGAAAAAAAAAGCTATCAAGGCTTCTAGGCAGAATTGATGTTATGTCCTTTAATGCCATGATCAGATGTCTCTAAAGGTGGCCACAGACAGGGTTTTATTTCGTCCGGCTCAGCAGTACTTTTGCCTCCTGATTGGAACTTAGAACACCATTTAGGTTTGAGGTCGTTCTTAGCCCTTTTCGATTATTTCTTTATTATTATTTTTTGATTACTTACATGACTTGATTCATACAGGTATGATGACGACGAAGGAGATAAATTAGAAGGAGAGATTCCTGGGGGAATATTTACAGGGCATTATGAAATGGAATTTCCAGAAGGTAGCCCCAAATTCAATAATGTAATGACGTAAAATAGGAAATTAGTTAAGAATCTTGCTGTGTATATCTTGTTGCAGCAGTTGAGGATTAGCCAAGTTTACCATGAATACCCTGGTTAACCACGCTTTTTGCATGTATGGTAAAGCCTGGTAAGCCTGTTTTGACAACCAGAAAGGTTGGGATGGTTGAACCAGGCTTGAACCCTGGTAAACCTTGGTTTAACCAGGCTTTTGATTCACGGGAATGTGCTAGGCTAAGTAACCCTAAACTCTAGGTGACACATATAAAAAGTGTGATGAACTGCAACGCGTTCCTAAACTTAGATATGTAAAATTTCCGACTAAAGTCAATTTGGAAGCTTTGCATGGTTGTGAAGTACCCAGACTATTACACGTTCTTGTCATAAGTTTATACTTTCCCCCTTTTTTCCTTTTCGCTAACGCGGTTGAACCAGGATATCGGGACAGAAATATTTGATCACTCAAATGTGGTAAAGCTCCGGCCAGGCAGCTATCCCTTCTTGAGTTGTGCCAATCGATCCAGGTTTTACAAGAGTTCAAACAGAGTCATACAATTTCTTGCATTCGTCTTCACAGTTTTCATTTTGTTTTCTTTAAATTATTTGCCTCTTTTTGATGTTTAAAGTACAGTGTAAGATTTGATCAATTCTTGTCTCCAGGTAACAGCGGAGATGCCAGTTTTCCCATACGATTTTGGGACGATGGAACCCTCAGCGGTGAAGGTTCAGATAAAGATGGCGACTATACTATAAAGGGTAGGTTAAAATGGCATCATGATCGAAAAATGTATTGGAACTTACTTGAGACGCTGTTTCTTGATCTGAGCACAATGAATCACAAGTTTTTGTCTTATAGAGAGTTCTCAAATGACGTCACGTTGTTTTGGTGTCCCAACACGATGAAACGGCGGCCATGTTGGTGTCCCAAACCAATTCTGTGGGAGTTGAAACTTTTCTTATGTAAAAAACTTTCTTTTGTTCTAATAAATTTACAAAACTGATGGTCAGGTGAGCAAAACCGCTCTGTAGCCTTATTCATCCTGGATTAGTCCTGAGAAATGATCTTTTTAACAAAAAGAAAATAATTTTCTACCCTCTAAACTCTTTTTTGGACTTTTTGACGTCATTTCTATGGTCTACTAAGTATTTATTTAAAAAAGACAAACATTTTGCATGGTCTTTACCCTATAGACCACAGAAATGATGACAAATGAAAATGTTCATAACTCAAGTTCGGCTCTTGTTTCCACCGCAAAGTTTTGGACAGTTTTGCTTCCACTTCTTTCTAAGGAGCCAAGACAATTTTTATTGTGATCGTTGGAGGTAAAACCAAAGTATTTAAAAATCGATAAGTTTGGACTGCCTTAAAAGCCGCCTCCTAATTGAGACTGAGTCTCTACAAGACTGTAGGTACTTCCTTTCTATTTGTAGGCACTTACGATTTAGCCAGTGGTACGATGAAGCTTGTTCAGGAGCAGTACATTGCTTCAGCAGAGTATGACTTGCAGTTCGAGTTTACTCCAAACACTGAAGCTGCTGACGGAACATGTAAGCAAAGGATTAACTGAAACCAATATATTTCCTTTTCTTTTGGGAGCAAAAACACCCGAGGGGTTGGCACTAGTGTTGATATATGTTAGGTGTGCACCGCGAGGATTCTTAAAGGGGCTCTGTCACGACTCTCTAGTTCGTAATGGTAACAGGACTGAGTGGAGTGTAATTCGGCCTGCTACGTGAGAAATTTCTGCTATTTGATTGGCTTAGAGCAGTGGTATTTCAGCGTAATTTGAAATACCTACATGTGAAAATAACAAACTTTTTGAGGGTAGTAGTAAAAACAAATAATAGCATTATTTGTATGTGATATTTGGCATACATACTCCTCGTGATATTTCAAAATTGGCTCAAATTTATGTATAACAATTTCGAAATATCACTCTTGATATTTATGCCAAATATCACTACAAATCATGCTATTACCTATACTAATTATACGAGTGATTAACAATTTGAGCTAATTTGTTTTGCGTTTTGTTTAATCACGAGTGTGATTACAGACCGAATTGGACGACACGAAGTTCTGTTACCAATTAATCATAACTATAACAAAATTTGTGANTCATGATCGAAAAATGTATTGGAACTTACTTGAGACGCTGTTTCTTGATCTGAGCACAATGAATCACAAGTTTTTGTCTTATAGAGAGTTCTCAAATGACGTCACGTTGTTTTGGTGTCCCAACACGATGAAACGGCGGCCATGTTGGTGTCCCAAACCAATTCTGTGGGAGTTGAAACTTTTCTTATGTAAAAAACTTTCTTTTGTTCTAATAAATTTACAAAACTGATGGTCAGGTGAGCAAAACCGCTCTGTAGCCTTATTCATCCTGGATTAGTCCTGAGAAATGATCTTTTTAACAAAAAGAAAATAATTTTCTACCCTCTAAACTCTTTTTTGGACTTTTTGACGTCATTTCTATGGTCTACTAAGTATTTATTTAAAAAAGACAAACATTTTGCATGGTCTTTACCCTATAGACCACAGAAATGATGACAAATGAAAATGTTCATAACTCAAGTTCGGCTCTTGTTTCCACCGCAAAGTTTTGGACAGTTTTGCTTCCACTTCTTTCTAAGGAGCCAAGACAATTTTTATTGTGATCGTTGGAGGTAAAACCAAAGTATTTAAAAATCGATAAGTTTGGACTGCCTTAAAAGCCGCCTCCTAATTGAGACTGAGTCTCTACAAGACTGTAGGTACTTCCTTTCTATTTGTAGGCACTTACGATTTAGCCAGTGGTACGATGAAGCTTGTTCAGGAGCAGTACATTGCTTCAGCAGAGTATGACTTGCAGTTCGAGTTTACTCCAAACACTGAAGCTGCTGACGGAACATGTAAGCAAAGGATTAACTGAAACCAATATATTTCCTTTTCTTTTGGGAGCAAAAACACCCGAGGGGTTGGCACTAGTGTTGATATATGTTAGGTGTGCACCGCGAGGATTCTTAAAGGGGCTCTGTCACGACTCTCTAGTTCGTAATGGTAACAGGACTGAGTGGAGTGTAATTCGGCCTGCTACGTGAGAAATTTCTGCTATTTGATTGGCTTAGAGCAGTGGTATTTCAGCGTAATTTGAAATACCTACATGTGAAAATAACAAACTTTTTGAGGGTAGTAGTAAAAACAAATAATAGCATTATTTGTATGTGATATTTGGCATACATACTCCTCGTGATATTTCAAAATTGGCTCAAATTTATGTATAACAATTTCGAAATATCACTCTTGATATTTATGCCAAATATCACTACAAATCATGCTATTACCTATACTAATTATACGAGTGATTAACAATTTGAGCTAATTTGTTTTGCGTTTTGTTTAATCACGAGTGTGATTACAGACCGAATTGGACGACACGAAGTTCTGTTACCAATTAATCATAACTATAACAAAATTTGTGATATTATAGGTATTTTTAAATTAAAACAAAAAATTCCGAGAGTTTTTGCTGGCAGAGAAAAAAGCCATTTGAGTGCGCACGTGCGATGGTGCGTACTGTCCAATCACCTAGGCATGACGCGGACTGTCCTATTTCACTGTCCTATTAAGGTGATGTTAGACGAGACGATTCGCAACGACCATTTTTAGCGCAGCAAAGCGTTGCATCATTGTTGCGACATTGTTTCCAATGGCTGCAATGGTGGCGAATCGCCCCGTGTAAATTCATCCGTATTGCTGAAATCAGGACAGTTGATAGCCAATCAGATTTGAGAGTTTTGCTATAGTTATGATTAAATTTGTTATTAATGCCAATTGCACGTCTTTATTCGCTATGGAACTTGAGAAATTACTTGTGAATGGCAAAATTAGAGCTTTGCGTCAAACAAAGTATCCCCAAAGGTTTGAATCCTATTACTTTATTTTTCACAGGCTTCTTTTCGCTGTTGGGTGATTTGCTCATATAACTGCGATGATCACTGATCTGTTCAGTGACCCATCTGTTCTATTAAATAAAGACTTTTTTGCAATCTAATTACAAATATTGACAAATAGAGGAGCGATTAGGCGAACTGTTATTATTCTCCGTTTCTTTTTGGATATCAGGCCACATATGGGGAAAATATGTGATTCCTACGTGGGCAGGAACGTATAAAGGAACAATTGACATGACGCTAACGGAACCATACCCGTAAGTACAACAAATCTGTACTTCTTCACTCAGTTTTTCTTTCTAAAACAGTTTGTGGCTAGATAACCATTACTTAATTTCTGTTATATTGTTACGGGTTTCTCAAATTCGACCAACCTGTTTCTCAATATCCCGTGCCGTGACCCTTTTCTAAATAACCCGTTGGCCGTTTCTCAATTTCCGGTTATGCCGTTACTCGTTCCTAACCACCCGGTTCTAATATCCGTATTTCGTCACATGTAAGGTAATCCAAGATATAGCCTGTGTACAGCTCCCCCCCTCCCCCCTCCTCCTCCTCCCCTCAGGAAAAATCGGAGATATTCGGAGATTTTTTTCCTAAGGGGAGGAGGCGGAGATTTTCTATACACAGGCTATCCAAGATAGTCTTGGGTTGTGGATTTCAGTTACTGAATTCCGGATTCTTTTTCAGTGGAACTTGGATTCTAGTTTCCAATCGTTAGAGGTATTCTGGATTCCTTGAACTGAACTCCCAGGGTTCCGGACTCCACAAGCAAAAATTTGCCGAATTTCGGAATCTGAATTAGCGCCATTTAGTATTGTCTAATTCCTTTACAGGGAAGATCCAAAAGAAGAAGGAAATCTCAACAGAGCCAGGAGTGGTGATGTGTCAGGGGATTCTCGTCTTGCAGTAACGGCCAATGATGACTGTACTCTAAAAATATACAGTCTTCAGGGTAAGAACACCGCAGTTCTTTGGAGATAGGAGCCCCGTTCTTCGTGTTCACTGCGTTAGACATTAACTTTACATGGAGGTGACACTAAAGCCATGGAGATTGCCGCGTTGGAATTTTCGCACGACGGAAGCAAACTAGCTGCTGTCATAGATAATTGCGACTATGTCCAAGTATTAGAAACAGAGAGTGGAAAACTTCTAACCAGCATAAAGGTTTGTTATAAAAGTGATCGAACAGAAAACAATGAACAAAAAGACAAAGGAAATCTACCATTGATGCAATTTTGCAAATTTATAATTTTTAAATCGTAAATTTCTTGAAGAGTTTTTGCGCATTTGATAAACTACATAAAACACTCGACAAAGTGTTTGATCTTAGATCCAGCTACAGTCGAACCTTCTTTATTCGGGCAACAGAAAACCAGAGCCACTTGCTTACATTATTGAGGTGACCGTATTTTATGAGGTAGGAAATATATGAAGTGTGACATCTTCGGGACAAACAGAAGTGTCTGTTTAGAGAGGTGTTTGTCATAAGACGACTGTGCTTCGAAGTTGGTTTAAAAATAATAGCCTGTGCCTCTTTTTTTTTTACGTACGTATCGCTGTTTGGGAATTGAATGACGCCCTTTGTCTCGTAGTACACAAGTTTCGGGCAACCTCCTTCCAGGCTAGTAGGAGAGAGCCCTGGGAACAAGGATGAAGTTTCGGGCCGACCTCAATCGAAAATGATAATTTAAACAACTTTGGCTTAAGTAAGAAACAATCGACTTATTTTTCATTTCTTTTCTCTCCTCTTAGTTCTACACAAGTAGAGATAATTGTTGCTTTTCGCCCGACGATTCACAACTGCTAGTCTCTAAGGGAAGAAATCTGGTCGTGTTCAATGTTGAGAACGGCAAAGAAGTCGACAGATTCAAGAATATTTATGGCTATGAGACCGGTAGGGCCTGCTTCAGTCCACAAGGTAAGGCTGCTACCTCGTACCCTAACCCTCTCGTTTTTCTCCTCCCCATAGTTCCTTGCACTTCACCACCAGTCAACCGCGTGTAACTCGCGTTTCGCCCGCGCGTCTGTGCGAGAAATGAAACGCCTGAGGTCGAGGAGGCAGATAAGGCTCCGATTATTTAACATGGCAACTAATCAATGAGAAAGGAGTTCCTGAGTTCCTTATTTTTCCCAAACACTCTCTTTAAGCAGACGTGAGTTCGCCATTGCATCACTATTGCAGAATATGTTTGCTTTAAATTATGCATGTAATAGAGGGAGCACTCACTGCGGACCTTTTTTCACCCAGGACAACTGGCAGTACAGGGTTTAGACCAGAGGTATGCACGGAGTAAAATCAAGATCTTTACTTATCCAGATAAGCAGCTTGTTCAACAGTTTGATGATCTGAGTGACAATAACACCTTTATTCCCTGCGTGAGTAATCTTCCTTATATCTTATCTTTCCTTCTTTAATACATGCGCAATAAGTAAAGAATGAAATTTTTATCGTTTTGATATAAGGCATAAGAGTTACTTTGATTACTGAAAAAAATTCCCGTATGCTGATTCTGAGTTTAGGATTTGAATAGACAATGACACCTTTATTTGAAGAAAAAAAGACAATGTTTTAGTTCTTCCAATTTTTTAGGTCTTTCTTGTACTTAAGTTGGGAATGCAAACTTTCCATGAAGGATCAAGTTCACTTTTTACAATAACTGAGGAAGTTCCCTTGTGCTTATTGATTGAAAGCTTTTTCTTTTGTTTCACTTCTCAGGTGTTCTTTTCGAAAGATGGCTTCAAGCTTTATTCCGTTGGCAGCGAAAAGCAAAACAATTTCATTGTAGTTCTCTGCATGAAAACCGGTAGCGTTCTACAGACTATCAAACCTCCAACAGGGTTTGGTCGCTTCTGTCTTGATGTAAGCGGCACCAAATGCATCATTGGTAAGCCTCTTGATTTAGAAGAACATTCAAACCCCTCAACACTACAACGGGCATCCTCTGACAGATAGTTTTTATGGTTGTCAGAGAATGCTGACCTTTCAGGATGTTTCAACATTATTTTAGAATTTTTTCCTCTTCGCTTTGAGCTTGAGGATCAGTTTAGCGTATTTAGCGTTTTTTTTTTGAGTTTCAACAACAGCATCTGAGGGAATAGGCCATTTTCATGATGACGTCATTTTACTACCACGACCAGAATCCTTCAGGGCTTTGCTTTCTTGTACAAATTAAGACTTTTGTTATTCAAACCTCGCTAGGATTACCAAATTTGAATATGAAAGGAAAAACGAAAAGGATTCTGGTCGTAGTAATAAAATGAAGCCATCATGCAAATGGCTTATAGGTGCGATTACCAAGCGCTGCCTGAGAATTGCACTTCCACTTCTCCCCCCAAAGTAAGGACTCTGGTTATTGAACGACTGGAATTTAATGGAGTATATTGGACATTTTTGCCGAAGGTACGAGAGGATCGAAGACCGAACTCTAGAAAACGGCGGAGATCGAGCCAAGCCAGGGAAGTGATGAAAAGACAAAAAAGGCCTGACCATTTTGAATTGGGGGTCGTCAGTGAAACTTAACCTCCAAGTGTTCATAATTACAAAACGTTAGTCACGTTATTATTTATGAATTTATTTCAGGGTCCTGGGATGGAAATGTTTCTGTCTTTGAGCTGGAAACCGGAAAGAACCTGCTAGAAATAAAGCCCCAAAGCTGGAGAATTAACGGTAAGAAAACAGCAAGCCAGTTATACTTCAGCAAACTGACGCACCGGGAACAGTTGCTGTTCTAGAAACGTTGATTATTTTTTACGCTGAATAACAAAGAACACTGCCAGACCCACCTGAAAAGGAAGGATTGGAAGAAATGGGGAACGCCAAGTATGCTGCTAGCCATTTTCTTTGCCATTTTGCGTTGAAAAAGGGAGAGAGTAAGCGACTAGAAGAAATATCTGAAATTCAGGCCATTCGGTTGTGACTTGGAGTCAACCACCTTAATTTGTGAAACAATTTTATTTAGTGCGTGCCCATGCCTTAAGCGTTTTTTCAAGGCTAATAACTGCTTTTGAGGATAAACGACCATCGTGAAATCATGCGAGAGACTGAACTGGTGTTGTATCGCATTGCACTATGAAAAAAGTATTCTTTTTCCTTTGAAACAGCGGTTTGGGGTGAAATTTTAATTACCCCAGTTTCCCGCGCGGTCTTGAAAATAGTAGAAGCGATAAAGCGATAGGCAATAGGCAGCTGAATAGGAGAAGCGTTGGAGCTCTCTACGATTATCCTACATTTCAGTTTGATACAAGACCAACCCAGTTTCGCGTGCATCTACCTCTATTGTAATTTCATAGTTAAAATGGGTAATATCTTTTTCTGAAAACATGTGAACATAAGGATGACCTACTCTCTTTACAATTACTAACGTAATTTTTCCTTTGTTTGTCATTCAAGGTATCAGTAGTTTTCAAATAGATGGCCAGGATTTCGTAATCAGTGGTTGCGAGGATCGAAGTTTCAAAATCCTGGACATGAAGACCGGTATGTCCTTTCTTTCGCAATTTTTGTAAACGGTTATATGATAATGGACCGTCAAATATCACTGTGCAGGGATTAATAAGGACTGTGTCGCGCGCGAATAGTCAGCGTGTCGTAATTGTTGCTGTCGACGAGTACTAACATTTTAACAATTTTACTTATTAAGATTTTTGTCACAAGGACGAGAACAGGCCTCTACATAATAGGCTCTTCCAAGACCAGTTAACGAATATCCATTGACACCGCTGGAAAGAACGCCTTAAAATTAGGAAACTTACCAAATTTGATAGTGACACGTTAATAGCGAGCGACGATATTGCTCCACGAAGTCGCGAAATTTTACAGACGCTTGTATGGTGGGGGCACGAACTTGCCCTGCCCCTCCCCCCCCCTCCCCCACTACCACCATGCAAGCGTGTATAAAATTAGGTGACTTTGCGGAGATGTATTTTCGTTAGTTTTTAACGAATCATGTTTAAACTTAGTATCTTTACTAATTTATTGTGGCGTTCTTTTTAGCCATGTTGACAGATTTTCACTAACTGCTCCCAGTCAAAAGTTGGAAAAACCGTGAAAGGGTCTCGATTTGGCAATGATAGGTGTTGCTTGGCAAAATCTAAAAGAAGTTTAAAAGCGTTCAGCTTACAAATTCAAATCGTGTTAAAATCTATCTGTTACATTTGAATTTGTTCGGACTTTGGCAGAAAAAAAAAAAAGTTTTGTGATTACGCTTATGTTAAGGCTAATCGTGGAAACAAAATTGGTTCACAACGTTGAAAAGCATGCATTTGTTTGAAATATACAGGGTTACAGTTACCGCACATAACGAGCCCTCGAGACGTTTCAGCGGCTGCAGCAACGACAATACCAGGCACCGATAGGACGTATGTGGCCCTTGGGGACCAGGGATCGTTTGTTCGAATTCTACGATGGATGTGAATGTTGCGTTTGTGTGATGCAACATCATTTACAAGATCGACCTTGTAATCTGCCTGTTTGGACACTGAATGACGTGCATACACAAAGCATCATCTGGAAAAGATTCATTCTATCTGGAACCAAAGTCAAGGTTGGCCCTAACAAACTATGACAAAGAGTCTTCATCGATCATTTCTTCCCTCGGGTACATAGCTTGCCAAAATGCACTGGAAATCGTTCAGAGGATATACTTTACACAGAGAGAAAGAAAACCTGGAAAGTTTCAAGGATTTTGGTATAAACATGATATAAACACTTGCCCTCGCCGACATGCTCCCAAGTCAATCACCTTGAAACTCCGTCCTTCTACTTTTGGTAGCAAAATGTAAATTTCCCAGAAACCGTTTTGGTCGTTAGCCATACAATGAGGTATCTCAAATATAGGTGAGAATTTCTGGCGATTCAAGTTTAAAAGCAATGTCACAAAAAGGATAAAAGTCAGGACGCTTCAAATATATATATATTTTTGCGGACCAAAAAACTCCTCTGAGATTGAACGTAAATTATGGTTGATATCAAACTTAACTTTTCATCCATGTCACTCGCAGCACTTAAATTCAATCCATTCATTGTCATTAATAAATACTAGGTCGAACCAATAGTGTGTCGGATAAATCGGTCAGTTAAGGAACACTCTAAAATTGAAGTGGTAAAAGCCATCATTCATAACTTTTGGAGAGCCTTTCCCTGCCCCCAGTGGAGCATTGCTGAATAACACGTCATTTTAAGGTCATTCCTCTGAAATGGGAGCTACACTGAGTTTTTTTTAAACTTGCCTTATGTGAAATTCAAAACATGTAGAGATAGTAGAGATATGATAGGTGCAAATACCCACCTCCCTCTAAGAGTATTTGCACCATTTTTAGACCGACGTCTTTCTTATGGGAACCTTTTATTTGAAAGGTTCAGCCTGAAATTTTTTAAAATAGTAAAAATATGTTGAGAAAATACCCGAGGTTCTAAGAGGAGGAATATTTATTTTTAAATGCTTTTTCTTTCCTAAATCCAAATTTGAATTACAAAATGTTCTACATGGAATCAGAGTAAATGTAAAATTTCGTTCCTTCAACGCATTTCCATTGTGATCTATTGTCATCTAAAATGGATTCGTACTAATTCATTTATGTGCAAACGATAATCATTGTCTTATCTTGTCTATGTGTAGCTCAAAAGTTATCGGATTTCTGTTATTGAAATTTAAGAACATTTGTAAGAACATTTCCTTGCTGAAACTGCCCAGAAAATAAGAACGGTCCAGTCTCAACTCGAAAAATGGACGTTCTTATGAAAAATAGAGTGTATAGTTTAATTCTCAATTTGTAAAACCAAAATATAGTCGTTTCCTTTTTTCTATTAGAGTTGTAGCCATAGTTACCAAACCCAAAGAAAAAAACAGTTTTTCAGATTTTCATCGATGTTTTAAAAACATTACAAATCAAACAAGAATTTTCAGATCTTGGATCTAAATTAAAGAGAGCACAAATTATGACTAAAAATGTAACCATGTTCTACCTTGAACTTTTCATTCAAGTGACCCCAGCGCTCATGACAATGCTAGTTTCGTTCGAAAGCATTCACTTGTGTCTAACAATCCGCTCCAGACTTCGACAGTCCGATCCCATCCGGTCCGATCCAGTTTTTGTCAACTGCCCAATAACACCTCACCGAACAACGAACAAAAGGCAATAAATTGAGCTCAAGTTACAAAGGTAAAGCAACAATAAGCCCAAGTTGAGGAAAGTGGAGTTTGTTTGTACATTTATGCCTTTATTTTAGCGTTTAGACAAGTGTGGTGAATTTCCTATGGCAAGGCCTATAAATAGCTAGTTATACAAATTAAACCATGAGGAAATAAATGAGAGCACACACGTCGCACTAGTATTATTCAGGTCTTGGTGTTATAATAATTTTATGTGGTTCAGGTAGTTGAGTGGCAGTTACGTTGCAAAACTAGGCGAAAGCAAGGAAAGGCCGATCTTTCGCGAAAAGACTTTACTAAAACCACCAATGTTGGTTTCTAGTGTAACAAGAGGAAATTCACTGTGTCAAGCGGCTTTTCGGCCTGTCAAACCAAATTGGCAGGAAAGTTGAACTGGGAAAACAACGGAACTAAAGCTCTTCGCGAAGGCGCTAGAATTAGCAAATAGTGATCTGCTAATGAAAGTTATTGTCGGGGGAAACTGCAATTCGGTAGAGCAACTGGCTCGCTGCTGCACTCGTTACTACTGCCAGAGGTACAGGGTCTAATTTCCACGTCCCAAGGTACGAAGGTTGGACAAGAACTGAGAATTTTCTGTAATGCTGCAACTGCTTTATTGTAGAGTAAACCTCGTAGATAGTACTTCACACATAATCGCAGGTAATCGTGCGGGTAATCGCAGGCTAGGTAATCGAATTTACAACAGTTTAAGCACTACTTTTACACAGTCTACTGTAAACACAGGTGTTCGATTAACACAAAGGAACAAAAAACCTATTAAAAAAATCAACACTTTACAATTCGATTGGCTACAATACTTTTCCTTTATGGCGAAAATACAATACTTCCTATTTCGGTTCCAGGACTTTTAGAAAAACACATGTTGTAAATCAAGCTGAATGAATAGAGCACAACAGTTGGCCTTGGAAATGTAAAATAGTTCTTGTCTAACAAAGAGACACGTACAGAAGTACACGTGTTCTATTGAAATTACAGATGTTCCAATAATTTTACACATGTCACTGCCTGCTATTTTGCATTTGAATCATACACATATTTCAGCTGCGGAGTTTCGAAAGACACAAAAGAGCCAAAACTAGATTTGTTGAGTAGAGCAGAATTGCTACATTAACGTTCTGCTGAAACTGAGTTCGGTTCTAAAGATAACATTGGAATATCAGCTGTGATACTAGGGTTTCTAGCTTCCGCTACGAAGCGTAAACCACAGCAAACAAGGGGGGACAAAGAACGTAACTACTTTAACATTCTTTGCACGAATTTCAAGTGTAAGATTTGCACACCCAAGCGGAGATTCACTCTACTGCTGAAAAAGGAGACTTAAAAATACAGTAAAACGCTGCGAAGAAGAACCTAGCATTTAAGAACCTCTTGGCAGAAATTTGTCATTTTAATACTCCAAAATATAAGAACCAGTTTAGCCAAGAAAAATCAACATGTTCTTATATGTGGGTTAGACTACATTTTCATAAACATTTTGACCGAAAGTCTGGCTTTAATATGGGAAATTTATATTACATTATATAATAAATGTATAATTTATAGTTGGTAACAACTTTTGACGTATAGAAGATCGACAATTGGATCAAAACAATCTAAAAACCATTTATTTACGGATAATACTTCCTGTTTATGGTAAATATCGTTAAAGAACATTAGTTGTTGTCATAGCTTCTTCAAAAAAATTAAGAACCTAATTAAGAACCTATTTAGCCTAAACTTCCAATAAGTAATCCAAACTATGAGAATCTATTTTGCCAAACTTGAAAAATTCTAGGTTCTTCTTCGCGGCGTTTTACTGTAGTAAAACTAGACCGCCGGAAGCCGAAAGGGAAACCAAACATGACTCAGACTTAATTTAAAACTGTTTCCGTGAATAAAAATTATTAGATGACTGTCTGAAATTAATTCTGCCGGATCAAATATAAGTTAAATGCTCACAAAAGAGTTACAAAAGCTAGATTTAAGAACTAAAACAATTCCAAACTTTCCAAAGGTTAAAAAGAATCTCGAACTTTTACCAATTTTTGTTGGTTTTGGAACCGGCAATGGATCCGGACGCCATGCCAGCGCCGGCAGCTGGGGACCCTGCCACTGAACCAAGTAGTGCAGCAGCAACGGGAGCTGCCTTTTTGCCGAACTCTTCGACAGCTTTAATAGCCTGTTGTGAATAACGGCGACCGGTCTTGAGGTAAGTGGCAAACGACTCGCAGTTGTTCGTGATTATGTGATAGCCTGACCAAGAACTTTGTTGTTTGACAGCATCTTCCGCTCTCTTCATCACTTCATCAACAGGTAGGCACCGTTCACCATATTCGTAAACAACACGGTAAAGTTTTGTATGCCCTGCGTAAAACTGTGTGAAATCGCGTCTCTGGGGTCTGGCGTTTGCTTTGCTTTCTCCAGAAACGTCGTAGACGGCCAAATTTTCTTTGTCGAAAATGCCATGGTGAAAGTATATGTTGTCTGTGTGCATTGTAAACGGAACCAGAAGCGGGTGAAGGTCAGCAACGTTTCCGCATATGGCAATTTGATCGCCAGTATTCAAATCGTTCAATTGGACTTCTTCATACCGCATATTTTCTCACTTCGTTAGGATCAGTGTGATAAACTCAAGCTTGTGTAAAATTTGTCATTTAAAATCGCTATAGACAAGCCTCGATGTAGTAGCCACCCCCAGCAGACGTTCGTAAAAGGGTTTGTTACATGTTCCTGTCTTACTCAAATATCAGTTGGAGAGCACGTGCAAATTATCGCAGAGCCAATTGGCGCTAAGTTATTGTTTAGTAAAAAGCGAATCATAAGGTGTTTTAGAACAGGCCATCTGGTGGGGATCAAATTTCCTGCGAGTTTATTCTGCCGCTAAATATTTTCATGTATGCAAAGTTATTCCAAATCCTAGCCTGCAGTGCAGGCTTATTTTGGGCGGGCGAAAGCACAGGTAACCCAGGCTCTGTGATAGTACCAAAGTACGGTTCCAGTAAAATTACAGTGTTTGTATGGGGTAAAAATACGATCCTAAACTTTCTAGGAAATACTAACAGCCATTACAGGGAGGCCAATTATCTCCGGCTGCGATGGTCCAACAGAAAGAATTTCCTCTTTTGATGATACATTACTGCAACCAATACCAAAAACACAGAAGTCATACCTTAAAGACTCCACCGACCTTATAAATTTTATTGAAAACACAAAGGCGAAAAAACGAACATTTCTTGTTTCGATGAACGTCACAAGTCGTTACACAAATATACCACAGAACGAGGACATTGAAATTGTCTGTAAAGCATATGAAAACTTCTACAAAGACAACCGTCCTATTACTACACATTACCTGCGGGAAATGCTTAGACTAATCCTCAAAGAAAATTCTTTCCAGTCCAATGGAAAACACTACCTCCAAACCCATGGTACTGTAATGGGCACAAAGACAGCAGTTTCTTTTGCCAATATTTTCATGGCACATATTGAAACAACAATTTTAAGCCGAACAGTTTTTAAACGTACAGTTTGGAAACGCTGCATTGACGATATCTTTTCCCTGTGGGACATAAGTAAACCAGACATCGGACAACATCACCGGCCAACTATCAAATTCACGGCCGAAATATCTGACATTGAGACTATGTTTTTAGACACGGTTGTACACAAAGGCACAAGATTCGAAGAACAATCTAGAGGAAAAAGAAATATTGCCTTTCGTGACACAGTACCTGCCCTCAGTGTCTACTTTAAAAGAAGTTTTAATGAAAAAATGGAATCTTATACAAAACCAACCGTTACTTCGCCAAATTTTTAAAAAACCACCTATCACTTTCTACAAGAAAGGAAAATTCCTAAAGGACATGCTCGTTAGAGCTAAAATATAAAAGGTTTACACAAGGTTTCACGCTGGTATAGATGTGCGGCCTGTCACCCCATGCATTTTCTCATGCGTCAGGTATTTTGACTCCACTACACAACATCAACAGACAAAACGTAATGGCAAATAAGTTTATTTTGGGACGGTTTGGCGAGAACCAACCCTACAAAGTACTTATGTAAATACAATAATAGGTGATTACTGGTGAATACCTAATGTACAACACTCGTAAACTAGCTTTCACAAAAAGAAAAAACTCGTGCTACAAATGGTCGCTCTTGACCTGAATCACCCAGTTAAGCACGCAGGCTTAGTGCCAGTTAGGCTGCCAGTTATTCTGGGGAAACTAATTAATAAAACAATGACAACATATAGCTGGCACAGGGAACACTGTAGGAGCACAGGGGCTAAGCAAAAAGAAAAACTGCTATAACTGGTCGATCTCGACCTAAATCCCCCGAAATAAGCACGCAGGCTTAGTGCCAGTTAGGCTGGGGAAACTAATAAATAAAACTCTGACAACGCATAACTGGCACAGGGAACACGGCAGGAGCACAGAGGCTAAGCAAAAGAGAGATTTGCTACAACTGGTCGATCTCGACCTGAGTCCCCCAAAGAAGCACGCAGGCTTAGTGCCAGTTAGGCTGCCAGTTAGGCTGGGGAAATTTAATAAAACTCTGAACAACGGATAACTGCTGGGACCGGGAACACTTCAGGAGCACAGAGGCTGAGTGCCAGGAAAACTGGGAATTATCTCCACTAATGTACCCAACAAGGCACGTAGCCCAATGACCAGTAAGGCTGCCATAAAAGGCTAGGGCAGGACATTGAAAGTAAACAAATGGATAACGACCCTGGCTAGAAGTCTGTAACATTGCCTGCAACCTAACTGCATCAAACGAGACTTATGTCGCCTCCTAAAGAGCGGTTCCTGGACAGCTGACCTAGACATACATAGAAACTAAATATATCAAGTAAAGGAGCAGGTGCAAAACTGAGATAACTGTACAAGTACATAAAATAAGAAACGGGAAAAAACTGAAAACTAGCAGAGCTGAGCTACCGCTTACAAACTGAAGTAAATGCGGTCAGACGGAGGCCAGAAAAAACCTGCCCAAAAAAACCCCGAAGGGAAAAAATGCGGGCAGGAAATCTGGGTAGGAACCAAGGCTCAAGCTCAAAGCCCTTCCTACGGGACTTTACAATGTCATCGAGAATATGTTGCTCCTAAAAATAAATAAAACAAAAATAAAGAAAAACCAAAGAGAGGGTGGTTCGTAAGCCTAGATGACGTACACGTGATATACGCAGCCTTATATACCCCCGATATGGCTACCCATGGTGCACCCGGCCTAGTACCCAGGCCCTGTTGTATCTCGTGCCGTCAAAATATTTATTTCTGTCTTCTTCGCGGGCTCATTCGTCAGAAATAACATTTCTTCTCGGTTATATAGAGTTCAGCGTCGTTTCGCTTGTTTTACCCTCCCCACCCTCCCTGGGTTTTATTTTATAGCCTGTCGTTTTCAATAAATTGTTTTTTGCCCCAAACTCGTTGCTTTTCTTTCGTGTCTACTAATTGGGATCAATTCAAAGATAAGCATCGTATTGCTTATTCAGATAAATAATGATTGACTACTCTTATATGGAACTGATCCTGGCTTCCTTAACTTTCCGATTTGCTGTTTTTAGCATTAAGTAAACTTGTGTGCGTGTTGTTCAAGCGTTTGACCAAAACAAATTTCCTCAAAATATTATCAAGATATTACACCAGTCCTGAAAATAGTTCCTATGGGCTCCTGCCTTTGCCCAACCCCACCCATTTTCATACATTGTGTTGTTTGTTTTGTTATGTTATTACTTATCGAGTAGTTTAAAAAAAAACTAAAAAACTTGTAATATTGTAAATTATTAATAATTAACAAAAATTAGTAGCATTGTTAATTATTAATTATGATTAAAAGTTAATTTTTAATCATTATCACACACACGACTTTTACTCACACCCACAACCACGCCCCACGACTTGTACCCACGACCCACGACCCACGACCATTGGACAAACTCGAAAGGAGCTTCAGGTGCAATAGTTCTTAGGTGTTGATTGGTCAGTTACTCATTTCCGGAACAGCGGGGGTGTTTCTCATTTTCACAGTGTTTTCGGGCAGGCGCTTTCTCTCCTCTCTCAACGCCCCCTACCCCCCTCCTTTTGACTCGCCCCATTTTCTCCTGTCTTTTCGAGTTTCAACATGGCGCTTTCGCTAGCAAAACATTCGCGCGCCCGAAGAAAACGCCTGCACTGCAGGCTATCCAAATTCTTGCTTCATGTATGGCCGAAACACCGAAAAAAGTGGTGGGAAATAACTGTTTTGTCTGTAATAGTCCTTGCAAAGAGTTCGGTCTGCATCTCAGACCTCATCGAAGACGGCGTGGAAATTGATGTAAGTTTGTTTTCATCGAGCAACCGTTCGCACTAACTGTTAGTGGGGCAAAAACGCGTGACGAAACCCTAAGAAAGTACAAAGGCGTACCAATCCCGCCATAAATCGAAGTTGAGACTTTAACTTTCGAGTCGGGAGTTCAACATCAAATATTACGTGTCAACATGAAACTTCGGCAATCAACATTGGTATTGACCATGAAGACGATTAAATTCGTCCCTTTTTTCAGCAAAATCCTTAACATTCTCGGCCAACCTAAACAACGTTAATAAGTTGCACTGCGTACCATTTCTGCCAAAAATGCAGGACTCTGTAAAAGCAGAAACGGCGGACGGCGGATGACGGACCCAGACGGACGGCAGAAAATAATGTATAAATAAATTTATAAGATAGATAAATAATTAAAAAGACAAATTGATAAAAATACAAGTAATTAAAATGTTAAAAATTTAAATATCAGTTGTGACATCTTCTGAGATAGACAGAGTAACCAGCTACGAGGCTCTCTCCGATGTCAGTTCCCACTCGTGGTCGGGAGAAAAGATCTCCAGTTTCTGTCGTTTCAGTTTGCGATATTACTTTGTTGTAGGGTCCGTGTGCCTATGTTGAAGAAAATCATGGGCAAGAGAAGCTACGCTGATGTATTTTTTGGCCGGTAGGTACCCCAGTAAATTAAATTTTGCGGTATCCATAATATTTTTGTTTGCTGCAGCTTATGTCTACTGCTTTAGATTTCTTCCGGGTCAACTGACTCTGATAAAAAAACACGCAAACAAAACTTTAAAACTAGTTAGAAGAGGGGGTTCGGCCTCTCGCCTAGATTCAAGCCTTTTGAAGAGGGGTAAGATCGGAGGAGAGAGCTAAAAACAGATGGGCATTTGGACAAAAAAAAAGAAAGCCTGACCACTTTGAATTGGGGGTTGCCTGTAAAATTTAACTTCCAAGTGCAGGAGCCATAATATGGCTTTTGCCGAGTGTTACTAATTGCAAAACGTTAATTACTTTAATTATTTAAGAAATTATTTTAGGGTCCTGGGATGGAAATGTTTCTGTCTTTGAGTTGGAAACCGGAAAGAACCTGCTAGAAATAAAGCCCCAAAGCTGGAGAATTAACGGTAAGAAAACAGAAAGCCAGTTATACTTTAGCGAACGCACTGGGAAAAGTTTCTGATCTAGAAACATTGATTATTTTTTACCCTGAATAACAAAGAACACTGCTAGACCCACCTGTAGAGAAACGAGTGCAAGAAGTGGGGAACGGCAAGTGCACCCCTAGCCATTTTCTTTGCCATTTTGCGTTGAAAAAGAGAGAGATGTGGGACCTTTGCGACGCTGTTGTTGCGTACTTTTGTTAGCCGAATATTAGACATCACTTCCAGTCGCTTACTCCTCTTTCTGAGAGGAGGAGTAAGCCACTCGAAGAAATTTCTAAAATTCAGGCTATACATGTACTGTTGTTTTGATTGGCAGTCAATCACCCGATTTGTCAAACAATTTTATGTAGTGCGTGCCCCATGCCTTTGGCGTTTTTGCAAGGTTAGTGACTGCTTTTGAGGATAAACGACCATGGTGAAATCATGCAAGAGACTGAACTGGTGTTGAATCGCATTGCACAATGAAAAAGGGTTTTTTTGTGCTTTGGAACAGCGGTTTGGGGTAAAATTCTTCCCCAGTTTCCCTCACGGCCTTGAAAAAAGTAGAAGCGATAAAGCGATAGTCAATAAGAGAAGCAATAGAGAGCTCTACGATTGTCCTACAATGCAGTTTGATACAAGACCAACCCAGTTTCGCGTGCATCTACCTCTATTGTAATTTCATAGTTAAAATGGGTAATACCTTTTTCTGAAAACAAGTGAACACAATGATGACTTACTCTCTTTACAATTACTAACTTTATACTACTACTATACAAAGTACATGAAAAATTTCTGCAATTTGATTGGCTTAGAGCAGCAGTATTTCAGCTTAATTTGAAATACCTACATGTGAAAATTACAAACCTTTTGCTGGTAGTAGTATAAACAAACAATAGCATGATTTGTACGTGATATTTTGCATAAATACCACTCGTGATATTTCAAAATTGTCTCAAATTTCACTCGCCTAACGGCTCGTGAAATTACGTATAACAATTTCGAAATATCACTCGTGTATTTATGTCTTTGTTTGTCATTCAAGGTATCAGTAGTTTTCAAATAGATGGCCACGATTTCGTAGTCAGTGGGTGCGAGGATCGAAGTTTCAAAATCCTGGACATGAAGACCGGTATGTCCTTTCTTTCGCAGTTTTTGTAAACAATTATAAGATAATGGACTGTCAAATATATATCACTGTACAGGGATTAATAAGGACTGTGTCGAGCGCGAATAGTCAGTGTGTCGTAATTGTTGCTGTCGACGAGCACTAACATTTAAGAATTTTACTTATTAAGAATTTTGTCACAAGGACGAGAACAGGCCTCTACATAATAGACTCTTCCAAGACCGGTCAGCGAATATCCATTGACACTACTGGAAAGAGCGCCTTAAACTTAGAAAATTTACCAAATTTGAAGGTGACACGTTAATAGCTAGCGACGATATTTCTCCCCAAGGTCGCGAAATTTTACAGACGCTTGCATGGTGGGGGCACGAACTTGCCCCGGCCCCCTCCCCCACCACCACCATGCAAGCGTGTATAAAATTAGATGACTTTGCGGAGATGTATTTTCGTTAGTTTTCAACAAATCATGTTCAAGCTTAGTGTCTTTCCCAATTTCTTGTGGCGTTTTTTAGCCATGTTGACAGATTTTCGCTAACTGCTCCCACTCAAAAGTTAAAAAAACCGTGAAAGGGTCTTGATTTGGCAATGGCAGGTGCTGCTTAGCAAAATCTTAAAGAGTTTTAACAGCGTTCAGCTTACAAATTCGAAGTCGCGTAAAATCTATCTGTTACATTTGAATTTGTTCGGACTTTGGCAGAAAAGCAAAGTTTATGTTAAGGCTGATCGTGGAAACAAAATTGGTTCACAACGTTGAAAAGCATGCATTTGTTTGAAATATACAGGGTTACAGTTAGCGCACATGACGAGCCCGCAAGGCGTTTCAGCGGCTGCAGCAACGACAATACCAGGCACCGATAGAACGTATGTGGCCCTTGGGGATCAGGGATCGTTTGTCCGAATTCTACGATGGATGTGAATGTTACGTTTGTGTGATGTAACATCATTCAGAAGATCGACCTTGTAATCTGCCTGTTTGGTCACTGAATGACGTTTATACACCAAGCATCATTTNCCATACAAGCGTGTATAAAATTAGGTGATTTTGTGGAGATGTATTTTCGTTAGTTTTCAACAAATCATGTTCAGACGTAGTATCTTTGCTAATTTATTGTGGCGTTCTTTTTAGCCATGTTGACAGATTTTCACTAACTGCTCCCAGTCAAAAGTTGGAAAAACCGTGAAAGGGTCTCGATTTGGCAATGATAGGTGTTGCTTGGCAAAATGTAAAAGAAGTTTAAAAGCGCTCAGCTTACAAATTCAAAATCGTGTTAAAATCTATCTGTTACATTCGAATTTGTTCGGACTTTGGCAGAAAAAAAAAAGTTTTGTGATTTACGCTTATGTTAAGGCTGATCGTGGAAACAAAATTGGTTCACAACGTTGAAAAACATGCATTTGTTTGAAATATACAGGGTTACAGTTAGCGCACATGACGAGCCCTCAAGGCGTTTCAGCGGCTGCAGCAACGACAATACCAGGCACCGATAGGACGTATGTGGCCCTTGGGGACCAGGGATCGTTTGTCCGAATTCTACGATGGATGTGAATGTTACGTTTGTGTGATGTAACATCATTCAGAAGATCGACCTTGTAATCTGCCTGTTTGGTCACTGAATGACGTTTATACACCAAGCATCATTTGAAAATGAAAGAGTTATTCTATCTGTAACCAAAGTCAACGTTGGCCCTAGATAAGAATGATCAAGAGTCTTTATCGATCATGTCAACCCTTCGGGTACATGACTGGCAAAGAATTCCTAATTGTCTACGAGAGGATTACTTAACACTCTTAACACAGAGCATGACCGTGAACTTAGATTGTAAGCCACACTATGAGGCATTCTCACGATTCTAATGTTATAGCAATATCACAAAAAGAAGAAAAGTAGACGGTCCAAATGAGCTTTTTTTCATTTTTTGTGGAAAATGGTAAACACGTTTCGGATTGAAATGTGGTTGATAGCATATTTAAATTTGATCCATTCGCAGTCAAAATTAATCCTTTCGCGTTCAAAAGTATACGATTCCTTATATTATTTCTTAATTTTTTATTCAATAAAAAGTGGAACCAGTATAGTGTAGAAGAAAAAGATGCGAAAATCCTTGCCCCATATCATAACTGAACGACACATTATTAATAATTAAGAGAGGATAAATATCTAATCCTTTCTTGTATTAATATATTATTATCTAAGTCTCAGTCTCAAAATGAACTATAAAATAAATTCAATATACCTCAAGATTTTTTTTATACTTATTTAAGGAAAAATGTGTATGATTTTGACGGAGAGGTGTCGTATGTTTGTAGATTGTCATCCCAGCCTGTAACGTACCTCTGATAAGAACGGTTGTAACTTGATAATCTGAGTAGGTTTTTAGTTTACAGATCAGGTTATGAGTCTAGTCAAGTCAAGTTAGAGTTCTCGTATACCATAGTATGGTAACAACAACAACAGTTCTTTCTACTAGTAAACTAATTGGCCTTGGGGCGATGACGACTCTCAGACTTGTATTTAAAAACGTGACTTATAATTCACCAACAAGAAGTCTCGTTTATAACGTTATGTGAAGTCACATCTACATATTGGGGACCTATTTATTTTCTGGATACGGAATGATTGGAATAAAGCGACCATTTGTATAGTGTTCTTTTTTAAAGCACCTGAACGTCATGGAAACCAAAACGCAGGCAACTGGGTACGGAGTGTCCTCTGTCCAAGCCTCTAAGCTCTTTTATGTTTATTCCCATGACTTGGACACCTGTGTCTCTACTGCACTGCGGTAGTTTTTTGACCCGTATTTGTCGAGTTCTTTCCAGTATGCATGGAGAAAATAGAGAGGCTGAGTGCAGTTTACCTTATAACAGGGAGAGGGAGGCATAGGAACAAGGCAGCAATTAAAAGTTTCATTAAATGCAACCGTCTCTCTTTAGAATAAGTAGAGCCCTGCAGCTGGGCCCAGTTGTTCGAAGGCCGGTTAGCGCTAACCCAGGGTTGAATCTTAACATGAGTTTCTTTTTTCTTTTAATTTGCTCACAAGCATTTTCCCGGATAATTTATTCTATTCTTTTTAGAGCATCCAATCATCAAATTGTAGGCAAAGGAATAAAACTGAATTTGCTTTTTAAGCTTTCATATCTGAATTGGAATTTTGCACTAACCCGAGGTTATCTTAACCCTGTTTTGAACAACCCGTTCGTAAGGTCTACAGAGCATGAGAAATACATACCTCTCTAAATATAGAACAAGAAAAGAAAAGAAACTGAAAGGAAAACACGAGAAAAGGTTCACTCGGATGTCCTTTCGGGCTTTGGTGTTTTCTAGCTAATCATAGATCTGGACTTGCTATTTTTAAGGTCCTGTGTCTTAGCTCACTTGTTGGATTGACAATAATGTATTCTTTCATTTCCTCGGAAATATTAACTTGTAGCTACGCTAAAATTGTAGGTAAAATTGGTTGTGTGTGCATGTATGTACGTACTGTACCCTTTGAACCAAACTTTTTTCAAGCTTATACACGGCGAACTGGTCAGCCTACCACTAGACCGGTAGGGAGTCATTCAAGAACGGGTACCTGAAAGACTCTGGGAAAAAAGGTGTGGTCAGCCCTGTTTCCTGTCTCCACTCATGGGCGGGCAGAAACGAACCCTCCCTATTACTTGGTACCCAAAGTTTGAAGTGACACTGAGTTGTAATATCCGAAATAAGGTAACTAATGCAGTTGCCGCAATTTGCGCTCGTACCCATTTCCTTACACTCCCCGGCGGATGTGAACCGATGTGAACCGGGAACCAAATCTCGCCCCAATCAGCACTCGGCCAACGTTCAAGATGGCGGACAGACAAGACAGAGAAGGAAGTTATTGATCATGTTTCTTTTGAAACTGTGGAGTTTCTTAATTACCATGGATGTAATGAAGCCAACTCTGATAAACATAGGAGGAAGATGTTACCGAAAAATGCCGTTTGAGCAGAAAATCGAACCCTATACTGAACAGGCTTCGAACTCAGGCCAAAGAAATGACGAAGGTAGGCACGTTGGATTCATTCATACAAAAGAAGCATAGTACAGAAGCGATGTGATGTTCGAAAGAGGAATAAATTTTTTTAAGCTAAAAATTTGTACATTTCTTTGCTTAATAGCGTACTGTTCTGTATGTTTGTTGTTGTCAATGGTGGATGTTTGTTTGTAAAAAAATTTCACTTATAAGTTAGTTTGAATTTCCTTGTAGGATGTAAAGCTGGAGTATTGTACGATCAATCGTATTTACAGATATCTATTATTATTATGTTTTTATGATGATGATGATGATTATTGTACATTGAAGCCACTATCAGTCTTCTCATTGGCTAAGAGACTAAAAGTGTAGACAGCAGTGTGAATTGAGGTGGAGAGGCTAAAGAGTAGCCTGTGAAAACATCTGTTTCTCCTCGCTCTTCGCCGCTGGGGACGTTTTGCGTGGAGGAACGTCTGCGACTCAGCGGCAGAAATTCCATACTGATGACGCAAATCAATGTTTACATAATAAATTCGATAGTCACGGGGTTCCAAATGCAAATTTGTCCAATTTTATGTGTCTTCTGGTCGATTTTGGTAAAGTATTGTGTTCATCTGCCAACGAGCTCCAGCAAAACTCAAATGTTTCTTCTAGAGAAGAGTATATTCCACAAATATTGACTGTTTTGCTCGAGATTCTTTGCGTTTACATTTGACCTTTGTGGCCTTTTGTGTTTTGTCTGTCATTCGTAAACAATAGCTTAAACAATCTAACTACTCTGTCGACCAATCAGCGCTTCTGACCGGATTCCGGACAGATTTTACGTCATCAGTATGGAATTTCTGTCGCTGAGTTGCAGACGTTCCTCCTCGCGAAACGTCCCCAGTGGCGAAGAGCGAGGAGAAACAGATGTTTTCGCAGGCTAGCTAAAGGGCTGGACTCACCTCTGTCATTAAGTCTTTAAATTTTCCAGAAAAAGTGGGGGCAACTAAACCCCCCCATCCCATGGCCAGCCCTCCAACTCCACTGTCCCTGTACACATACATCATATTCAAGAGTAGTCTCTATCTTAACTTAAAAAGTGGGCTAAGTGGTATGTAGTTATTCAGCATGGCATGTTTTAAGAACAAGAAATATGCATTTGTAATAGGATTTACATATCACATAGCGGGCTAACCAAAGAGTATTCAATGAATATTATTGTGGAATGGTATCATACAGTATAAGCCAACAGAAATGATTTAGTTAAGAGAACACCATGTACTTGTCACTTGCAGAGGAGGTAATGTGGGATGATGAAGCTTGCGATGCATTTGGTTTGGTTGAAAAAACTGATGAAGGTTATAAGCTGTCGATGGAAATGCCAAGTTCGCTCCATCGATTTATTATTGGAAGAAGAGGGGAAACAAAGAGGAAAATAGAGAAAGACACTGGTACACGTATCTGGATTCCTAGACAGGGCCAGGAAGGAGACGTAGGTGAGACCTTTTATCAGATTTATATTGTACTAAAGTCAAAACCCACATAAGAGACCACTCAAAATACCAAAATTTGCTGGTTGCTTGTGAGAACGTTTTTACTACAGTACAGAACTTTAACTACTGGGTAAACAGAGTTTGGCATTTACATTATAGTTTAGATGGTTGCTGATAGGGTTGGACGGTTATTATTTTTGTGCCACAAAAATTATGTCCCTACAGACCCATTTGACAGTTCCTTTGATTAAACTCATAGATTGATACTGATTTCCCATGGTAACAACCGACAAAATGAATTTTCTTTTAAAGTTAATGATTTTTATTTTTGATGATTAGTCCCTTTATCAGACCTGCCATGTAATGTGACTTCCAAGAAATTCCACCTAATTTCCCTATTATCTGCAGCTAACAAAAGGCCTGAGTGCTCTTCTTGACTGACAATAATTATATGCAAGCACTATTTTTGTTCTTTGAAGGGGAGACAATTCTTTTAAAATGTCACTTTTCTCGTTTATTAGGCAGGATTAGTGCAGTTAATAGAGCTGTTGACTGCAGAGCCAGAGGTCATGAGTTTAATTTATGATCTTTCATCTGACACACTTAATAAAGTAAATATTATTTGCTGATGCCAAATAAGACACAAATAATGCTATCTGTTCTACACTTGCCCTTGATAAAATGGGGACATTTTGCCCAACCTTGCCCCATAATGTTGGACTCTTGTTTTTGACTTACCTTGTATCTCATTTTGCAGTGATAACGGGACCCCAAAGGAGTGGTGTAGTGGGGGCAAGAAGCCGCATTGAAGTAATAACGGAATCTGCAAGACAAAAGATTCCTTTTACACATTTTTTGTGTTTTCCTTTGTATGAAAGCAACTTGGAAAAGAAAGTTGATGAGTTCAAAGTAAGAGTACTCAAGGATTGTTTTGAGGTAGGTTTTTCACCAAACTCATATTTCATTTTTCTCTTCTATTCTCAATAATAATGTCTTAAACATGGCTATGGGATGTTAAAACCACAATAATCACTTAAAGTAAAAAACAATACCACCAAATTATACCTAACTATAAACACATATAGTGAACTCTCTCTAAGACCGACACCTTTAATTTGGGACCTGCACTAAGTGTCCATCTTAAAGAGGTGTCTTTCTTGGGTCAAATGAAGGGAGTAAAGAAAGGCAGGGACCAACTCTAGGTGTCCATTTGTCAAGGTGTCTGTCTTATAGAGGTGTTCATTAAGAGAAAGTCGACTGCAGTATTTATAGGGGTTATAAACAATAAACCGTGCAATGGTTTCAAGGAATTGGTAATTCCACTGGTGAAGGGCCAGGCCCGAAAAATTTGGAAAGGATAACTTCAACTTTAACATGGCACTTTTGTTCACGATTTCTTTATTTTTAATGAACATTTTTGTTATAAACAATATCCACTGTCACCCACAAATAACTCACAATATGGCAAGTTAAACTAAAATCCCAACTAGGGGGCTCAGGCAAACCAGAGGACTATTGAAAATTGAAACTGTAATCAACCCTAGCTGCTGGGTAAAGGGACTTGAACCCAGGGTGACTCGCAAGTTAAAATCTGTCACTGTAAACTACTTGTGGGCATCTGTCTCTCAAGCCCTTAATTTCAGTACTTGTAATCAGTGAGGCATAATTGTCAATGTTATTATTGCAGTGCCGAGGAATAGATGCAAGTATATTCCAACTACCAAGCAAAATTCACTTGACCATCGGCATGCTGACTTTGTTGAGTGACAAAGATGTGGTAAGGAGAGGAATGATTTGTTCATGGGGGGTGATGATATTTCAAACAGCTAATAATCAGAATAATTTTCACTCTTTCTTCTTGTTACTGTTTATTTTCTTAGACAACTTCCACCCTGAGAACCTGATACTATTTTGGTGGCATGCAGTACATAATTTTGAAATACTGATCATAAGAGAGGCAGCTTTGAACATTCTTCTCTCATGGCCACACAGGAGTTTTAAGTAGAATAAGATCACAATAAAATTAGCTGACATTAGTATGGCTATTCTTGATTGAAATAATATTAATGACAACCCTGGCCACCTTGTGACTGGTTTTCTATTCAACAAACTTATAATCCATTCAAGTCATTCAGTGATCATGACTCCCTCTTGCAAATAACTGCACCCACTTTCAACTGAAATGGAATTTTAAAACTTTCTCTTATTTGTTGTGCCAGCATCCTAGTAGCTCGTGCGAGTGCAAGTGCTAAAGGAAAGCAACAAAAGTAGGTCCGACAGCTACCGTGTCTGGAACAGTGTATTGAGCATATCCAATATTATCTTTAGGGACTGTTGCATACGAATTTTTTCCAACAACTTTTCTTGAAATAGTTGTATACACAGTTATACACCCCTTATAACTCAATCAGCAATTAACGAGTGTCCTTTGGTCCATAAGTTTCAAAACAGCTGCTCCACAGAATTTTTACCTCCCTTTGTTTTGGGGTATGGCAATGAGTTTTAACAAAAGGAAATGAAAATTAAACTATGGATAAAATTGAACCACAACATATGCATGCACCTCTTGCCAATCTGTGTCACTTCAGACACAAGTGATTAGAGTGCCACAATGGTGAAGTGTCAATAAACTGAAAAATTATTTCACAATGTTGACCAACAGTTATGATACAGTACTCTTGAGTGTTGGATAGGTGCCATTTTTGTTGAGAAATGATATTAATAAACAAAAAAAAAACCTTGAGATATGACTAAACTTCTTGCAAGCAACAGGCACTCTTTCTTTACCTACTTTTGAGTGGTGGTGTACAGTTTTCAGATGTTCTTACTGTAACATTTTTTGGTTGGTAATGGTGAAAAAGAGTTAAAAGATCACACAACAAAGTGAAAACCACGAGGTGATGTCAACTTCAAAAAATCCTTCTATAGGTCTGTGCAATATTTATTTTGAGAGATTATTGAAACGTACTTCCATAAAGGTCCCACATTTACAAACAAAGTTAAATGTAGCAATCTTTGTATTGCAGAAAAATGCAGCAGACTTATTGTCAGAATGCTACCAAGAACTTGTCAGGTGTGTGCATTTAAAAAACAGAGTTGCAATGTAATGTTTTTCAGAAAGGACATGTTTTGACAGACTTGGCCATGCAGTTGTATTTTAGCTGGACCAACCAGAATCGTCCATTCATGTATATGTTTTAGTACTATGGAAATCTTCAGCATCAACTCGACGTGATATTCATTAACTGTCTGGTTCTCATAGCGTACTACAGGTCGGGCTTGAACTCCCTTGTCCTTGTCCTACCACATGCCACAAAGATTTTATTTGACCTGCCTGGGCTAATTTAAGTGTACATTGTCCAATGACCAACTTTTATTTGTATTCCTGTAAGAGTGTACTTGTAATGCATCCATTTTTTGTCAGAGAATGTATGTCTCTGCCTTCTTCCTTATAAATTACAATGACTTCAAGTTCTACTATAAATATTTGACATCTTTTATGAAAGATCTAAGTTTTTTGTCGTAAACATTATTGTTCAGTATGAATAATATGCTTATTTAGCAAACTTATGTCCATATGAGAAGCCGAAGCGTCCTTACCAACTGGACCCTTGGCAAAATATCGCAATACTATTTTAAAAATATTTCCATTGAACAAGCAAAGAGGCGTACACAAGATAAGAGTGGTTTCGCTGCATTGGTTGACCGTGTAGTCGTTAATGCAACTCCGTGGTAACATAACAACTGGTCAAGGATTACACTATAACAAATACAATTTTTAGGAACTTATTAGAAAGATAATATACTTCCTTGTTCAATACCTTCAGGGAGTATTTGCAGGACACTGCTGTTGAAATAGAACTTAAAGGTGTAGAGTACATGAACGATGATCCGGCGGAGGTCGATGTTTTGTATGCAAAAGTTCTCCCCAAAGATGGCTCGGACAGGTGATACTTGTAATCATAAAAAATGTTATCTTGTTGTTATATACTGCACTACAATTTATCTCTCGAATTACCTGGTGAAATGACTGTGTCATGCTCTTGAAGTTTTTTACTAACGGCACTCTCGCTGAGAAAGAGGAAATTAAAAAAGATACCACGACGGCGAAGGCAGCAAAAACGTCACTTTTTAGCCAGACTTAAAATTGAAGCTTACTTATAATTTTCTCAAACAAAAAATAAAATCGAGCAATGCTAAACGGCGACGGCAACGAGAACTGCCAAAAAATGAAGTCTAATTAGCAACAAAAAAACAACTTTGCACGTGCAGCACACATTTTTGTTTAATGATTTCTTTGCCGTTGTTTGGCACGTCCACAGCGTAAAACTTGCTAGTTACACATTTTATGGAAAAAAAAGTCCTATGTGCTCACCAAAGATTTTGTTGCTTGCGTTCCTGTGCGCTTTTTTTTTCGCTGCCGCTCATTTTTACGTTGCTGACTTCTCCTTGCTAAGCGCTAGCATTTCTCAATTTCTCATCGCCGATTTAAAACTTTCACTTATTTTTCCAACATAATTCGTCGCCTTTGTTTTTATCTCTCGCTGTAGCTCTTTCTCTGTTATCCACGTCAGTGTAGATATTAAAACTTATTTGAAAAAAGACTCGACTTAATTGTTGCTTTTTCTCTCTGAAAGTCCGGGTGGCCACGCGATTTCGCACCAAAAACGTCGAATCCCATTTGGGTTGCCAATTAAAACAAAACCACAAGAAGACTTGATTCATGACGCACCTGAAAAAACAGCCTGGTGGACAGACCCTTTCTACAAGTTCCGTCAAATTTTGTTTCCCTATTTTATTCTCAAATGATAAAAGTGTGCTACAATTCCTTATAGTGGATGATAACGTCGCTTAAAAAGTGAATTAACGGTCTTTCAATTTTCATCGCAATTATTTGAACTCACTTACTTTGTCAAGTGTAGGCGAACTCTCCTAGAGTTGAATTCCTAAGGTCCAAGTTCAGAAAGGGAAAGAAAAGTTCCTTGTGGCTTGTTTACGTCCTCCATAAAACCTGAAATAAGGCGTGTACTGCACGTGCAAAGTTGTTGTTTTGCCTATGAGACCTATTGCTGTTTTGACGTTCAGGTTGCTGTCGCCGTCGTCGCATCTTAAGGTCCCTATTGCAGCAAAATGTGTTGTAAAGCGATGTTTCGCGTTTTATTACCCACGTACAACAAATCAGGTTATTGCATGTTACACAAACACTGACTTCTGATTGGTTAAAATCAAGCGGGAGTCCATACCACACACAGGATTTACGTCACTTGCTGCAAAGTCAGTTTGCCTTGGGCCAGTAAAACGCGAAATGAGTACATACTATGTTACAAAGAGTAGAACTTCTCTCTACTTTCCGCAAGAACTTTCGCAACTTGCGACAACCTGATTTGTTGCAAGACAAGTTTGATTCGTGGGTGGTAAAACGCGCAACATCGCTATTCAACTCGTTTTGCAGCAATGTTGCATAACAAGTTGCACGTTTTCATTAAAAGTTAATAGCGATCTAAGGCCCTGTCCACACCTAGGTTGTGACAATATAACATCGACCCAGGAGAAGTGTTGTGTCCAGCGGTTTTAGTGAAAAACAAGGGTTTGTTGGTGTTGCTCAGTGTCGCGGGCTCACAAAATCTCCCTCAGGTCGATCTTATTTTGTATTTGCCCCACGCTTATCCCGATATTTTTGAAAACGGAGAAAAGATCTCCGTTTTCAAAAATATTCGGATACATGTGGACAGGGCTTAAGTTAGGTAAAGATAATAATAACCTTCTCTATATGATAAAAAAAAAAAAAAATCGCTATTCAATACTCACAAAAAAGACCTATGTACAGTGGTTCACTTAAAAAGAATTAAAACGAAATTTGTACCTTAACATCTGTTAGAAAAAAAGAAAAGATCATAATGTCTCAGTATCTCTTGAAATATAATCCACGAAAATATTTCTCTACTTATTATTTTTACTATTACTATTACCAATCACAATCAATATTTAACATCTTTTCACTAATTCCTCTTTAAAATCTGCCACGATTTCAACATGAACCAACAACGATAAGAATATTAAATAGTAGGAATAATTGAATATGCAATATTCAGTATCTTTTATATGTCTTTTAATTTAGGCTCCAAAGGCTGGCTGATGCAATTGTTGAGAGATTTGTATCCAAGGGTTTGATGAAAAAACAGTATGACCAAGTCAAGCTACACGCAACTGTCATGAATTCCAAACTGCGCAACACTGATGAACAAACCCCAGCTAAGAAAAGCCGAACAGATGTGCCCCCCAGATTTGTAAAGAAATTATCATTTGATGCAAGGAAAATTATTTCGGTAAGGCTACATACCTGAGGGGATCCCCATAATGGTCTATAGAGGGAGGCCCCGCCCAAAAGGGGTACTTTTTTCAGGCTTTTGGTTTATGAAAGGGTAGGGAGTATATGAAAGGGTAGGAAAATATATCCTTTCGGTCTGTAAAAAGACCCAAGAGGGATTGTAACTGATGCATTTTATGGCTATGATAGAGTTAGACGTGAAAACGTTCTGGTTATATGATTTATTCATATATTTACATATCAGTTAAAAGGAATTCAAAGTTCTAAGCTGGGTGTGTGAAACGGGGAACCATTTTTCAATAGCAGGTTATACGAAAGGAGTTGCTTTTCTATTAAAAATGGTATATAAAAGGGTACAGGGTTTGGACCTCAGGGGAGACTCCCTGCTTAAAAATTGGTTGATCACTCGAGCCATATACTTTCAAATGTCAATGGGATAAGTCGGTTCGTGCGTCGTCGTCTCTGGACCTGTGCTTTTATCACTGCACCACTCTTGCTCCCAAATGATGAGTTTCACTTGTTGCATGTTTTGTCTATAACTTTCAATCTATTTCTTTTATTGTTTGCAGTTATTTGAAGACTTCAGCTTTGGTGAATACCATCTAGGCACAATTCATCTGTCTACAAGAGGACGCTATGATGCCGAGGGACATTATGAATGTGCTGCATCTGTCCCCTTACCTTGACTCAGTTCCCTGCCTTCGAACCTTTACATGCGATCTTGGACATAGTTTCGTGGAAATTTCACAACTCCCGAATGAATGGTTTATTTTAGAAAAGAAAACTTCTTGACTTTGCAATGTGTAGGCGGTAACCAATCAAATCGCTCGAAAGTCGAAACCAGAGTTATGTCGTCCGAAATATATAGTCATGTGACTCATGTCGTTCGAGATTTTATCAGCTGTAATACAGAGAAACAAAGTTGAATAAAGCAGTGCGTGTGATACGGGTATATCTTGTTCTTTAGGCCATGTTGAGACGAAACAATAGCGATAAATCAGTAATATACAGTAGAAACCGGCGACTAAGAACCAGCTGGTTTTTAAGAACCTGCTATGCTTAAATTTCCTAGTTAGAGCCCCTCTTTACAAGAACCTGTTGAGCCTAAAATTTGAAACATGTTCTTATTTTCTTATATCTATATTTAAAAAAATCTGTACAGGATACTCTTTGGAGACATAGGTGCCTCATTGCTTTAACTGCAATTATAATGGTATACAGGTTTCACCTCTAGTAAAGAATGAGATGAATACCACTAAATACTCTTAGCTACAATGTGTTGTTTCTTCAGAAGATAAGAACCTATTTAAGAACCAAAATAGCCTAAATTTGTGCTAATTATCATTTATGTAAGAATCTGTTTAGCTTTTCTCCGGAAAATGCAGCTTTTCTTAGTCGCGGGTTTGTACTGTATTTCTTTCTTTACATCTTAAAGAGACGAAAAAAGCTAGATAAATTTGTAATAGGATGCTGGGATACTATTATTTGTAGGCAGTTATTTGCAGGTCACGTGCTGTGCTCTCGGCCAATGTAAAGGAAGAAAAATTTTTATGGAACGATGATATTACCATTAAACTGCCCCAAACCGCCAGGAAGCTGCAATAAGGTTTGTTACATTGTGTGGTGGCAAAATGAAGAAAGATGGTAAAGGATACGCTCGGTGAATTTGCTAAAGAAAAAAGATTGGGACTGTTGTTGAATTTTGGGTTTTGTGACATATGGAGTGAAAAGGGAACGCTAATGTAAAAAGCTTTTAGTTGTTAGAACTTCACACAAGCAGGGACAGTTCCACTTAAATTTTGCTATAAAATCAAAACAACAGTTTGGTAAATTCCAAGCCATCTTTTTCACCAGTTGAACTACAACGCTGTGAAGTTAAGTTCCACAAATTGTTAATTTTTAAATTCACTCCTGGGTGTGGTGGTATGAACCAACAATTTAAAATCTCAACTCGATCTGATGAAGGCCAGTTAGTTCGTCGCTGATTTGGTTGCTATAAAGAGGTTTACTTTATCATTGCCAGTCAACTTTGAGGTCAGACTGGTCAATGTGTCTTAACCTTCATCCGCTGACACTAAAAAAATTTGTCGTATTTTCAAAGCGGTTTCCTACATACTTTTATCTTCTTTTTTTCGGAAGGTCATCACTGGTTAGAATTTGAGAATGAAGGAAGTGTTATTGCAAAAATAAATGTGCAGTATTAAAATTATACGATTACATCTCAATCTACGATGTAAAAATCAAAATAATCAATAGAGGCAGCGCAATATACGCCATAAATTATCTATCACCAGTTGAACTACAACGCTGTGAAGTTAAGTTCCAAAAATTGTTAATTTTTAAATTCACTCCTGGGTGTGGTGGTATGAACCAACAATTTAAAATCTCAACTCGATCTGATGAAGGCCAGTTGGTTCGTCTCTGATTTGGTTGCTATAAAGAGGTTTACTTTATCATTGCCAGTCAACTTTGAGGTCAGACCGGTCGATGTGTCTTAACCTTCATCCGCTGACACTAAAAAAATTTGTCGTATTTTAAAGGCGATTTCCTACATACTTTTATCTTCTTTTTTTTGCGGAAGGTCATCACTGGTTAGAATTTGAGAATAAAGGAAGTGTTATTGCAAAAATAAATGTGCGGTATTAAAATTACACGATTACATCTCAATCTACGATGTAAAAATCAAAATAATCAATAGAGGCAACGCAATATACGCCCTAAATTATCTAATAAATTATAAAAAATCCCCTTTTGAATTTTTTTATGGTGGTTTCTCACGCCCGGGCAATTTAATCTATGATCAAAAACCGCGAACATGAAAACCATTCGTAACACGCTTTTTGAATTAATTGCCCCACGCTTATCCCGATATTTTTGAAAACGGAGAAAAGATCTCCGTTTTCAAAAATATTCGGATACATGTGGACAGGGCTTAAGTTAGGTAAAGATAATAATAACCTTCTCTATATGATAAAAAAAAAGAAAAATCGCTATTCAATACTCACAAAAAAGACCTATGTACAGTGGTTCACTTAAAAAGAATTAAAACGAAATTTGTACCTTAACATCTGTTAGAAAAAAAGAAAAGATCATAATGTCTCAGTATCTCTTAAAATATAATCCACGAAAATATTTCTCTACTTATTATTTTTACTATTACTATTACCAATCACAATCAATATTTAACATCTTTTCACTAATTCCTCTTTAAAATCTGCCACGATTTCAACATGAACCAACAACGATAAGAATATTAAATAGTAGGAATAATTGAATATGCAATATTCAGTATCTTTTATATGTCTTTTAATTTAGGCTCCAAAGGCTGGCTGATGCAATTGTTGAGAGATTTGTATCCAAGGGTTTGATGAAAAAACAATATGACCAAGTCAAGCTACACGCAACTGTCATGAATTCCAAACTGCGCAACACTGATGAACAAACCCCAGCTAAGAAAAGCCGAACAGATGTGCCCCCCAGATTTGTAAAGAAATTATCATTTGATGCAAGGAAAATTATTTCGGTAAGGCTACATACCTGAGGGGATCCCCATAATGGTATATAGAGGGAGGCCCCGCCCAAAAGGGGGTACTTTTTTCAGGCTTTTGGTTTATGAAAGGGTAGGGAGTATATGAAAGGGTAGGAAAATATATCCTTTCGGTCTGTAAAAAGACCCAAGAGGGATTGTAACTGATGCATTTTATGGCTATGATAGAGTTAGACGTGAAAACGTTCTGGTTATATGATTTATTCATATATTTACATATCAGTTAAAAGGAATTCAAAGTTCTAAGCTGGGTGTGTGAAACGGGGAACCATTTTTCAATAGCAGGTTATACGAAAGGAGTTGCTTTTCTATTAAAAATGGTATATAAAAGGGTACAGGGTTTGGACCTCAGGGGAGACTCCCTGCTTAAAAATTGGTTGATCACTCGAGCCATATACTTTCAAATGTCAATGGGATAAGTCGGTTCGTGCGTCGTCGTCTCTGGACCTGTGCTTTTATCACTGCACCACTCTTGCTCCCAAATGATGAGTTTCACTTGTTGCATGTTTTGTCTATAACTTTCAATCTATTTCTTTTATTGTTTGCAGTTATTTGAAGACTTCAGCTTTGGTGAATACCATCTAGGCACAATTCATCTGTCTACAAGAGGACGCTATGATGCCGAGGGACATTATGAATGTGCTGCATCTGTCCCCTTACCTTGACTCAGTTCCCTGCCTTCGAACCTTTACATGCGATCTTGGACATAGTTTCGTGGAAATTTCACAACTCCCGAATGAATGGTTTATTTTAGAAAAGAAAACTTCTTGACTTTGCAATGTGTAGGCGGTAACCAATCAAATCGCTCGAAAGTCGAAACCAGAGTTATGTCGTCCGAAATATATAGTCATGTGACTCATGTCGTTCGAGATTTTATCAGCTGTAATACAGAGAAACAAAGTTGAATAAAGCAGTGCGTGTGATACGGGTATATCTTGTTCTTTAGGCCATGTTGAGACGAAACAATAGCGATAAATCAGTAATATACAGTAGAAACCGGCGACTAAGAACCAGCTGGTTTTTAAGAACCTGCTATGCTTAAATTTCCTAGTTAGAGCCCCTCTTTACAAGAACCTGTTGAGCCTAAAATTTGAAACATGTTCTTATTTTCTTATATCTATATTTAAAAAAATCTGTACAGGATACTCTTTGGAGACATAGGTGCCTCATTGCTTTAACTGCAATTATAATGGTATACAGGTTTCACCTCTAGTAAAGAATGAGATGAATACCACTAAATACTCTTAGCTACAATGTGTTGTTTCTTCAGAAGATAAGAACCTATTTAAGAACCAAAATAGCCTAAATTTGTGCTAATTATCATTTATGTAAGAATCTGTTTAGCTTTTCTCCGGAAAATGCAGCTTTTCTTAGTCGCGGGTTTGTACTGTATTTCTTTCTTTACATCTTAAAGAGACGAAAAAAGCTAGATAAATTTGTAATAGGATGCTGGGATACTATTATTTGTAGGCAGTTATTTGCAGGTCACGTGCTGTGCTCTCGGCCAATGTAAAGGAAGAAAAATTTTTATGGAACGATGATATTACCATTAAACTGCCCCAAACCGCCAGGAAGCTGCAATAAGGTTTGTTACATTGTGTGGTGGCAAAATGAAGAAAGATGGTAAAGGATACGCTCGGTGAATTTGCTAAAGAAAAAAGATTGGGACTGTTGTTGAATTTTGGGTTTTGTGACATATGGAGTGAAAAGGGAACGCTAATGTAAAAAGCTTTTAGTTGTTAGAACTTCACACAAGCAGGGACAGTTCCACTTAAATTTTGCTATAAAATCAAAACAACAGTTTGGTAAATTCCAAGCCATCTTTTTCACCAGTTGAACTACAACGCTGTGAAGTTAAGTTCCACAAATTGTTAATTTTTAAATTCACTCCTGGGTGTGGTGGTATGAACCAACAATTTAAAATCTCAACTCGATCTGATGAAGGCCAGTTAGTTCGTCGCTGATTTGGTTGCTATAAAGAGGTTTACTTTATCATTGCCAGTCAACTTTGAGGTCAGACTGGTCAATGTGTCTTAACCTTCATCCGCTGACACTAAAAAAATTTGTCGTATTTTCAAAGCGGTTTCCTACATACTTTTATCTTCTTTTTTTCGGAAGGTCATCACTGGTTAGAATTTGAGAATGAAGGAAGTGTTATTGCAAAAATAAATGTGCAGTATTAAAATTATACGATTACATCTCAATCTACGATGTAAAAATCAAAATAATCAATAGAGGCAGCGCAATATACGCCATAAATTATCTATCACCAGTTGAACTACAACGCTGTGAAGTTAAGTTCCACAAATTGTTAATTTTTAAATTCACTCCTGGGTGTGGTGGTATGAACCAACAATTTAAAATCTCAACTCGATCTGATGAAGGCCAGTTAGTTCGTCGCTGATTTGGTTGCTATAAAGAGGTTTACTTTATCATTGCCAGTCAACTTTGAGGTCAGACTGGTCAATGTGTCTTAACCTTCATCCGCTGACACTAAAAAAATTTGTCGTATTTTCAAAGCGGTTTCCTACATACTTTTATCTTCTTTTTTTCGGAAGGTCATCACTGGTTAGAATTTGAGAATGAAGGAAGTGTTATTGCAAAAATAAATGTGCAGTATTAAAATTATACGATTACATCTCAATCTACGATGTAAAAATCAAAATAATCAATAGAGGCAGCGCAATATACGCCATAAATTATCTATCACCAGTTGAACTACAACGCTGTGAAGTTAAGTTCCACAAATTGTTAATTTTTAAATTCACTCCTGGGTGTGGTGATATGAACCAACAATTTAAAATCTCAACTCGATCTGATGAAGGCCAGTTGGTTCGTCTCTGATTTGGTTGCTATAAAGAGGTTTACTTTATCATTGCCAGTCAACTTTGAGGTCAGACTGGTCAATGTGTCTTAACCTTCATCCGCTGACACTAAAAAAATTTGTCGTATTTTAAAGGCGATTTCCTACATACTTTTATCTTCTTTTTTTTTTCGGAAGGTCATCACTGGTTAGAATTTGAGAATGAAGGAAGTGTTATTGCAAAAATAAATGTGCGGTATCAAAATTATACGATTACATCTCAATCTACGATGTAAAAATCAAAATAATCAATAGAGGCAACGCAATATACGCCATAAATTATCTAATAAATTATAAAAAATCCCCTTTTGAATTTTTTTATGGTGGTTTCTCACGCCCGGGCAATTTAATCTATGATCAAAAACCGCGAACATGAAAACCATTCGTAACACGCTTTTTGAATTAATAATGGTTGCAATAATTTACAGCAATATTTCCTAGAAATGAACGATTCTTTGATTCTTTTGCCAGAAAATCTTTAAAATGTATTCTCAAAAGTAGTTTTGTAAAAAAATGAAAATTTGAAGCAAAATTTAAGATTGAGGATTTAATACGTGACGTCATAGGGCAGATGGTATTCAATCCACAAAGAGAGATAACATTCTCTATGGGTATACTTTTAATCCAGAATTTACTGAATAATACTCAAAGTTTGAATTTCAAAAACTGGTCAGGAGTGCTCATTAAACTTTAAGCGCCCAAGTTATTATTAGCTCTTGGTCTTATGGCTTTCAAAGAGTGTACTGAAATGGATTTAACTTAAATTTTCTTTTATTCCGCCGCAGTCATTGTCTTCTAGAGATTGTGCCCAGTTGTTTTTTTCATAGGAAAGAAAATTTTTTCTGTACATGCACACCTGTTTTCATTAATAACAGTTAACTTGCAAAATGCGTGGGGAGAAGTTTTCGCACCTGGGACACCAACAGCGGGAAAGTAATCAAGTTTATAAATCAGATGTCGACAACCTAAGCTGCTAGTACTACGATCAATACGGAGCAACGGAGGCGGTTTCAGCAAAAAAAAAGGGGTGAGCGGTAGAAAAAAAATTCTGAAAGCTCTGTTGCTCGCAAACGAGTGAAATACTCCGGCAATTAACGTCCGTCAGTTTTCCGTCAGCAAATTGGTTTTGAGTGTGGATATTCACGTTACAAGATGTCTAAACGTCGTGTTATTCTTTGGACTGCACCACGATGTGTTTCAACCGCGTTTGAGAGATCGATAATGACGCTCAAGAATTCAAAAATTTTACACGAGCCTTACTCAGCAGCCCATTATTTCGGCCCAGAGAGACAAAGCCCTAGATACGCAGCCCAAGAGACCAACCAGCAGGCAACCTACCGCTCAATAAGTAAACTGCTTCAGAAAGAGCACGACGGAAGTGATTTCGTCTTCACCAAAGAAATGGCTTACTGCGTGGAAAACAAGTTCCACATCTTCACAGAAGAAGGTTTTAAGGACTTTCAACACACATTTCTGATCCGCCATCCTCTTAAGGCAGTATACTCATTGTACAAAGCTTCTACAAACCCGAAGCTCACGGGATGGGATTACTTCGATCCCGCAGAAGCGGGATTTCGCCAGATGGCGGAGCTGTGTGACTTTGTCGAGAGGCACATTCACAGCAACCCCATAGTCGTGGACGCAGACGATTTGTTGGATTATCCCACTGAAATGATGCAGAGCTACTGTGAAGCTGTTGGATTAGAGTTTGAAGAGAACATGACCTCCTGGGAACCAGGGCCGGTTCCTGAATGGGATGTTTGGGCCGGATGGCATGAAGATGCACTGAAGAGTTCTGGGTTCAAAGCTAGAGTCAAGAAGAACAGAAGTCGCCCATGCGCTGTGTTCGATGTTGAAGATCTCCCACCGGAAGTGGCGGCTGTTGTGGAAGAGTGCATGCCTTGCTATGAATCGCTATCAGCGAAAAAACTTCTACCCAAGAACATTCCAGTTTTTTAAGTTTATGGTCGGTTAACCATTAGAGAGAGAAATTCAGGAAATGAGACAGTGTTTTTTTTGTTTGTTCTTTTAGTTTGTTCTTTTGTCTTTTTGTTTTTAGTGTCTTTTCCGTCTATTTCTTGGTCTTATTTCATCGAGCAATGCATTTAAGAAAGGTATTATTTTTTAACGAAATAAATGTACAAAACATAAAGGACCGAATGTTCCAGATCGGTTTTTCCCCGCTCAGAATGGATGGACATCATTAATTATTAACAACCAGTTAAGCGGCAAATTAAAGAAGTGTGCGCCTTGAAATGCGCTGAATAAGACAAGAAATGGCCTAAATTGGCCCGCAGCCCCACTAACATCAACCAGAAGCATATAATTCTTTCACGGTGATATGCTTCTGCACCAACTAAACATTTTTAATTAAATTTGATTTTAAAAACATGAAAAATAGTTACTAGAACACAGGATTTTACACAGAATTCAAATGAGCTTTAAATTTGCCATCAATAAAAGTACGGTAAACATATTGTATGGACAAAACAAATTTAATGTTTGACTAAACAGTTTTTAAACATGTTAGCTCATGTTTAAGCTTTGGTGTGAATGTCGCCTCTAAAGGGAGGGATGAAAAGTGAGCTCTCCTAAAAACGCCTGCGTGGGAGGCTAGTGTGAATAGGGCTTAAGGTTGAGATTCACTTTTCTGGAGTTTAAACTTACATGTGGCCCCGGTGGGGGACTCCCGTATAAAAGTGGCGGGGATGCTCTTCGTCTCCCTTTGGGGTGTAAATTGCAGATTTTGGTCTCACTTAAGCTGTTTGGGATGGAAAGTTACTATATTTGCCCATTCAGGTATCGCTTACTACTGTGCATAAAGAAATTTACAAAAGGCCCTGACAGTGACCACACAGAAATCTTCCTTAGGGGGTCACTTTAAGCTTGAGCCACACCCACATTGGTCTCCCTTACGGTTTAAATTTCCGACGAGCATTCCCGGCACTTTTATATGGGAGTCTCCCCCGGCGAATGTGGCTCACCGGAATATTCTGTAGTTGAGCCTTTATCAAACCTTTATATGTTCTTTTAAAATTTTTCAATAACTTCATAGCGGCAGTCTAATTAAATTCCGTTCGGGTGCAATTTGCTCCATTCAAGTCCATTATTACCACGACTATACAAGCGCTACAAAATATCGAAGAAAACGGCTGAAAATAAATTCAGAAACGAAACAACAAGGGCAGGAATAACAGGATGGTAGCAGGTAGAGACAGATTTTTCCTTTCAAATTCTACCCAAAAAAATTCCCATGTAAATAAACACCATGGAAATGTAACTGACCCGGTAAAGCTAATTAAAACTATAAGGATTAAGGATTAGATTTTACTGGTTATGAAAGCTTCACCAAAACTACGATGTTTGAAGGGCGGGGCGGGGGTAGGGGGGGGGGCAGAGAAACCACTCCAATCTCGATAACAAGAAAAAAAATCCGCGTTTTCGAGAAACTTCGAGCTGATTTGTGGGCAGACAAAGAAAACACACCCCAATTTACTTTTAACAGGGTTCGCACGCACCTTGAAAGTCCTTGAAAATTGCAGTCGGTGCTGGGAAGTCCTTGAATTTCGGTGCTAACTTTATCCAACACAGATTCTCAAGTGTCTAAAAGGAGCAAACACAGAAAGACCTATCAGGATAAAATTGCTCATGTTGTGGAAGAACAAAAAAAGACAGACTCAAGGCTCTTTTTTGCACTAAATGGAGTCCTTGAAAAATTGGAAATGTTTCCTTGAAAGTCCTTGAAAATTCCTTGAATTTTTTGTTCAAAAAGGGTACGAACCCTGTTTTAATCAATACGACGTTACTGGGTAGTGGTGGATCCCCCACAAGGGAAGAAGACCAGAGGGAACCGGATCCCCTAGCCCCGCCGTCCCCCACCCGCCCTACCCCCAACTAAATTAGGGAGCTTACGCAACGACGACGGCAACGGCAGCCCCGCCAAACGTCACCCGAAACGTGAATTAGCACTGCTTCAAACTTCATCGCTCTTATTGCAACTCTTTTAATTTGTCAAATGTTGGCGATTTTTTCAGGAGTTTAATTCCGAAGGACTGTATCTGAGTTCACAAAAAGAAAAAGAAATTCGTTGTCATGTGTTCCCGTCCTCCATAAAACGTGAAAATTAGGAAGTTTCACGTCGTAGCTAGACGTGCAGTGACGGCAAAGAAATGTACAAAAAAGCGTGATGCACGTGCAAAGTTGTTGTTTTGCTGATCTAAACCTACTGCTTTTTTGCCGTTCTCGTTGCCGTCGACGTTGCTTAACCTCCCTAATAAATCGGATAAAAAGGAGCCTTAGCCAGGGCCTGAATTATTTGCTTTTTAACAACAGGGGGGAGAGTTGGAAAGAATTCCTGGATCCACCTCTGTGGGTTAAAATAAATCATAATGATTAACAAGTCTTGGAAGTTTACGCTTGATGTGAAAAGGACCATTTTCGGTATTTGTTTATGCGCTTCTGTTGAGGGTAAGACCCGGGGTCACTATCTATTCAGTTTAAGTAATGGAAAGCGCGTTTAAATATCTCAGTGACAAACGTCCCCACCCTGGCTTCTGTATAATTTAACGGCAGGAACCAACATAGCCTGCGAAAACAGTCGCTTCTCCTCGTTCTTCGCCGCTGGCATGGGGACGTTTCGCATGGAGGAACGTCTGCGTCTCTGCGGCAAAAATTCCATACTGATGACGTAAATCAATGTTTACATAATAAATCCGTTAGTTGTGGGGTTCCACTTTTATCATGGTCGATTTTGGTAAAGTGTTGTTTACATCTGCGAGAGGGCTCCAGCAAATCTATATATTCCACAAATATTGACTTTATTGTTAGAGATTCATCGCATTTACATTTGACCTTTGTGGCCTTTTGTCGGTCATTCGTAAAAAATAGCTAAAACAATGTAACTACTACGTCGACCAAGGATTCCGGACAGATTTTACGTCATCTGTTTGGAATTTCTGTCGCTGAGTTGCAGAAGTTCCTCCTCGCGAAACGTCCCCAGCGGCGAAGAGCGAGGAGAAAACGGCTGTTTTCCCAGGCTAGAGCCAACACCCCTGACTTTGAAATCCGTACGTACCTGTTTTAGTACCTGAAGCCTTAAAAAGATGAGCGCTCTTAAGCGGTTTTTTTGTTTAACGTCGGTTCTTAACTTTGTTGTATTTCTTGTAGCCTGAGAAACATTTGATTCGTCGACGAAGCTCTACACCCACTTGGTCCCGGCGTCTGTAAACTTCGAATAACAAGGCAACATTAACTGTTTGTTCAACGTACAACAAATAAAGAAGCCTTAAACATATAAACTTTTAAAAAGAATTCGTCGAGCAAAAAAAAACAACTCTGAGACCTATCGCTTATTCTCGCGATGTGTTGCCTTTCCCCCTACAATTCAATGGTTATCAAATTTACAGTTCTTTAGAATAGTAAATTATTTATATTCAGCGTAGAAATTGGCTCTATAACTTAAGAAAATGAGAGGAAAAAATACTCACCACGTTTAATTGCATGAAAAGTTTTTTCCTCGTGTTGAAAACGTGAAGCCGCAAACGGTGAAATGGCGGGAAAAATTACCGGTCACGTGGTTATCCCTGCCGTTTGCTCCAGTGACGGTAGGAAAAAATCGGAAACCACGCTCACAAAATGCGGGAAAAGGGCTTGGAATAAGGTGTGGTGCTGAGTTGATAGGAGAGTGAAAAAGCAAATTCGGTTTTCTAGTGTTAGCCTTTTGAATCAGAACAACGTTTCGGATAGCCTGAATTTCATCCGATTACTTCGAGTCGTTACTACTCCCTCAGTAAACGACTCGAAGCAGTCGGATGAATTTCTGGCTACGTTTCGGACTGATCGGGTTTTCTAGGTCGGGGATAAGGTTCGATTCACTGAGAACGACAGGATTTTTCGTAGTCCACGACTGAGCCCCGAAAATCTCCGAGAGTCTCAAAAAAAAGTTTACGCCCACTCAATTTTTTCTGAAAAAGGACGACTCTTCAAGTTGACTTTTCACCTTCCCGCATCAAGTTTTGTTAATTTTACTATCTATATTTGACGAAAATCCACCGACGTGAAAGCTGACAGGTAAAGCTAGACGCGGCCTTTATGGATATATTGCCCTGATCAGCAATTTCAATAATCAACTGTGTCGTAGTTCAGAGACGTTCACCCGTAAAAAAGTCTGTTAAAGGTCCTAAAAGTCACCGACTTTCCAGAGGGATGGCGGGGAGGGACGACTGGCATATAAAAAGGACTGGAAAGCTCGTCCGAACATAAGACAGTGAAAAGAATTTAACCCAGAAAGAGTTGGCTAAGGCTAAGGCAATGATTATGAACTAAAGGTGGCACGCGTCGAAAGGGGTGAGGGAGGGGGATTTTGCCTTTCGCATTTCCCCCACCCCCAACCCCTTTGGAGCCTTCCACGCAGGCTACCTAAAGGAGTCCTCACTAAAACAGACAAGCGAATAAAAGCTACACTGACTTAAATTATGCTTAATAAGCTGTTGAAAGCGAATGCTGTCTTAAACACAGTTCTTTTTTAAACCAGGTACTTACGTCTGCCATTTACACCCCTACCCACCCCTAGGGGATCCACCTCTCCCTTCCCCACGGAACTCACACATTTCACAGCTGAACTGCTGAAACGTTGTTCAGAGTGCCACAATCAACTGTTACCTTGGAAACCAAAAACATGAGAGACCATAGAAGTAGATTAGGGAGCCACTATGTCGACTCCATGTCTTTAATATTCTTCACAACTCAACCAACCAAGGCAGTTTCTTTATTATA